GTACCGAAACCACAATAGTGTGACACCGGCGTACTGGTTGTCGATGCGCTGGTGGTGGTGGTGGCTGAGTTGCATTTTCCGTCCAAGGCAGTACCGAAACCACAATAGTGTGACACCGGCGTACTGGTTGTCGATGCGCTGGTGGTGGTGGTGGCTGGATTGCAAGAGCCATCTAATGCAGTACCGAAACCACAATAGTGTGAGACCGGCGTACTTGTTGTCGCTGCGCTGGTGGTGGTGGTGGTGGCTGAGTTGCAAGAGCCATCTAAAGCAGTACCGAAACCACAGTAATGCGAGACACTGGTGGTTGTGGATGAAGCCGGATTGCAGCTCCCATCAAGAGCGGTACCGAACCCACAATAATGGGACACGGAAGTCATAGAAGCAGAGCTGGTCGTCGTGGTGGGATTTGCACAAGAGCCATCGGCATTGGTACCAAAACCGCAGTAGTAGGTGGTAGTATTTGTTGTCAAGGGAAGAGCAAAAGCACCAGCAGCAAAGGCAGCAAAGAGAACAGTGATAGTCGAATGCATAGTGATTGGTGTGGTTTTGTAGTGTTGAATAGTAGAATATAGTAAGTTGTGTGTGCTAGGAAATGCGATAGAACCCGATGAGACAAAGGAAATAAGGAAATAAGAAAAAAGATAAAGGAAATGAGTAAACGATGGTGTACTGTTGTTGTGTTGTTGTGTGATGAGGAATAGATCAGAAGTACAAGACGTCCCTACCTTCTTATACAGCTCTGAGATCTAAACACCAACCATGATGATGGCATGGCTGATAGCATAGCATTCGTGGTGTAGCACTTTGAATGGAAAGTGGCTCAGGCGATGGTGTTCCACTCCAGTGCTGTAACATCGCAGACACATGAGAGAGAGAAGAAGCCAGAAATAGATTTGATTGGAGCAACGTCAAGCTGCTCATGCGAGGCATTTGATGTGGCTTGCACAGCATGACGGCACACTCTGGGGAGAACTGGTTCGAGCATTGACCAGCTGAGAGGAAAGACCAAAATGGTCGAAAAAGAAAGGCGCAGCATAGGGAGAGAAAAAGCCAAAGAGGAGGAGGTTCGTGCGGGATGAAACTATCGTTTTCCTCTAAGCCCCATTTGGAGAAGGCAGCCGAAGTGGTCAGAATATCGCCATGACTGACCGTCCTTCTCTCTCAGCTTGGAAAGCAACATCACCAGAAAAAGCCAGTCAGACAGCATTATAAGATTTTTCTATTTCATGAGCGGCTCGGAAAAAGCAGTCTTCCCGATGCGAGAGTCCACGTTTAATGCCACCAACCAGTCAGATATCACTTTGCTGCATTTCCCTCATATGGTAGACGTGTATTTTGAGATCATTCACACTAGCAGAATTCTGACACTGTTCTTCGAACCCATGCCATGCGAGACAGTCCTTTTGATGAGAAGGAAGTGACGACCACGAAACCTTCCCCATAGGTTATTAGGAGAGCCCGATGTGCTCTGCCGTCTTCGGCTCGTTCAAAGATTGTCTTTGAGCTCCATCGTATGTCTTATTCTCCCAGCCACGACTTGACCAGATTGCGTGAGTCGTGGCGAGAATCGTCTTAGACGATAGCAGTCTCACTCACTGATTCGCTGGAACCAGTGGTACTAATGATACCTTGGATGGAAACACACTGCTCAATTGTCTCACAGAGTGTGGCCCGTTGACAGGATCAGAAGATTTCTACCTTGGTAGATTAAGGTTAACTTAACGCTGTCGACAAACAAGCTTGTCATGCAAAGCTAGGAAGATGCTTCTCGATGCCGACTTTGGTCTCCATTTGGTGGCTTCTAGGCGTTCAAGGCCCCTCTCCTCTGCATGGTGGCATGAGCAAAGCCTCTAGCTGATGGCTGGGTTGATTCATTCTCACCTTCGAAGGTTCCATGTAAGGCGAGTGTGAATCGTTTGTGGAACTCCAATCGACCAAGACGGGACATCCGTTTGTTCACATCTGAGTGGTCTACTGGCTTTGTCCTTCGTGCTTTGACACTACCTCTTTTTGGAACAGCGAGCTGAATACCCTGATTCAAGGGCAAAAACTCGTGGTGAGAGCCGGCTCCAGCAAATTTGTTGGACGGCAGCAGAGAAGCTCTGAGCTCACGACACTTCGGACCTCGCCCTCCTTACCACTATTGGCGCTTTGAGCGAACGATTGATTGAAGCTGCTCTGAGGGACACCGTTTCTCCAGCACGGATAACCTTTAGCGTATTGTGTAGCTTACGTGGACTGATGATGATCATTCGAACTCCAGCGTCGTCGCTGTGACTGGCGTTACGGACAATATCTAGGAATGATTTGACTGTGGATTCGTTGGCTGACCATAGTGTCGGGTAACCAAGCAGAACGATATGAAGATTATTCGGAGCTGCGCCCACTGCGGCTTCCAGAATTTGTGTAGCTTCTGCGAAGGTCACATCATGAGTCGAGTCGTGGTCTTGGAGTGTGGACCACACTGCAGATGACAGATGATCACCAGATGGAAGTTGATGAATGATGTCCATCGCTAAACTGAGCATCGCAAGTACAATGTCAGCGTTATTGTCCTTCTCCTCTTCACCTGGTGCTTTGGGTCGTAGTCCCTGGCCAAAGGTCACCACCGGCAATTTGGCTTCCATCAAAACTCTTGCTATCTGTCCTGCAAGGGAATGGTCGACCCGAGAAGTCTGATCACCCGAAAGGAATTCTAGGTAGAGTAGCTTCTGTGATGGGTTACAGAGCCATCTATTGGTTGCTTGCGCGAGGCTCTGATCGAAAAGCGCTTGAGAAGGCTTGGGGTACACTTTCACACCACATGCATGATTTTCCGAATGCCGGGATATGGTATTTTGAAGTATTTTATGGATGACGCCAGTTGTCAGAGGTGGAGGAAGACACACTTGGGGAGACTGCACAGGAGCCGCAAGTGCAAAGCTGGGTGTGTCCTCGATCCTAGGCTCTGGCGTTATGCTGCAAAGCATCGGAAACCCCATGACATCTGCCCTGAATGCAGACAATAATGCCTGAGTGAGTTCATGTTGTTTGATGCTTTCGCCCTGTTGCCAAATCATGTACTCGGCCAATGTTCGAAGTTCACCTGATAAGCCGATACGTGCATCGTTTAGTTCACCCCTGAGTTGTTCGACATCAAGTCTAACCACACGTACTTCGGCTTGCGATCCAAGTCCTGCCGCATTGCGGACTCCTTCAGCCTGTAACTTTATAGTATCGATGGATTTGCGGAAGCGTTCCGAGAAGTCTCGATGAAGACTATGTAATACCTTTGAGGCACTCGACGATTTATACCATATTATGGCATCGCCGAAGAAGAGGAATACAGCAATGTACAGTTTAGCGATAGCAGTCTGGACATGCTGACTCCTTATCAAGTTCGACTCAACGTTACAGAGACCGATGGCGTCACTGATGGAGTCCAGGGCATTGCTTAGTTCTTCAATTGTTTTCGAATGGTTAGTTGAGGCCTAACGTGGTAGAATTAGTCTCTCGGTTACCAGTTTCATTGATTAGGGACGCAGTAAAGTAGACTGATCAGAAGTTATGGCTAACCTTGACAAGCATCGTGGCTGCTCCTGCCACCAAAGACGTGTAGGTATTCGAAGAAGGAAAGATCTGGAACAGTGTTGAATGCATATCAAATTTGTGCATCAGGCTGTGGAACAATTTCTGTGGCTTGCCTTTACCAAGGCGTTCTTTTGATTCCCATGTGTGCCGTGATGTTTCGACTGCTTTTAGTAGGTCCTCATACGACCAAGTGTCTTTGGTTTCAGTAGGAAATGCCTTTTTAAGTATATCAGAGAGATGTGCTCCTTCGCCCTGCAGAACCCGAACTTCTGTGCTACGTTGTTTTCAGCAACCCGTTACCGATTATTCGCGCCATTGTTCATACCTGGCCAAGTCCTCATGCTGAAAATATTGCGTCCAATATGCCCTATCTGTTAAGGCAGCCTCTGGACTAGTGGTGCTTTGACTATGGTTGTCAGTGGAGAAGCCCGATGATATCATTCGGTCACGCTGCTCGATCAGACTTGTTGAAGAAGCCATGCTGTTGCCTTTACTTGAGTAGTCGGTAGCGCTGCTTGTAGAATGGATAGTCTGAGTCTATAAAATTGTGTGGAAGAAGGAGGAGGAGGACACGTTGGATGCTGATCTACCTAGTCGGCTCATGCCTTGACCTTGAATCAGGCATCTGGTTCTGTGGCGCACGAGGCTGTGCAAAAGCACTACTACGCACTAAGTATGCGCTATCTCTTGTTCAACAAACAAGATTGGTCACTAAATACCTTGGCAACAATTAAAGCAATGCGCAGCCATCCTCGGACTTGGCCCCCATGCGACTTGTCCTTGAAGCTGATAGTAGTCTCGTCGTGTACATTACTGCATGCGCTTCACTCCTTCATCCTCATGAGCATCATTTGAAGTGAGCGTCGAAGCCCATCTTGTTCTTGCTGTTGAGCTGAATTTCCCGACCTCTGTCTCAACAACCCTCCACCTTAACGCCCTGCCTCGTTCATCCCATGGTGACCATCTACCCCTCATGAGGCTCTCCACAGCACTCACAACGCAGGCTTCTTAAACACGAGAAAGGAGCCTCCCCCATCCACCTTCCGCAAGCAAACTATAATACACCAGTACAGCGTAAAGAGCCTACGATTATCGTGGCAATTATAACATATATCTTACCATCGAATCCCTGATAGGAACGGAAACATGGCTCCCCGCGTCGGGACGTTCCGTGTACCTCCTCAGCCTAGCTATACCACTGCTATCGACCCGTTGGATCTAGACTATCCTTTAGGAGGGGTCGCAGACGAACGTCCAGGCCTTGAGTCAGATGATGAAATAACAGCCTTTACCTCACGCTTTAGAAAGGCTTCCAAAACGCCTCGAAATGGTTCAGCTGCAGATGTGGTCTTTGCGCGATCCGATTTCGACGATCTTCGAGCAACAGTGGAACAACTTGGGTCGCAGATGAGTAGTATTGCAGATGTCCTACGGCAAAATCTTGGGAGTATTGGCGCTGGTGCTATCGGTGGTAGTTTACCCGTCCAGTTTGACCTCCCAACTATAGACAGTTTCAAAAAGCCTACCTCCAACAAAAAGCCAAAGAAACCGAGAGTCTCGCCAGACATTGTTTATTCCGCCGAGGTATATCCACATGACGCTCCTGGACGAACACAGAGTCAATCGGCAAAGGTCATCAAAAGCAAATTCCCTATAAGCGCCAGGCAGAGTCGCAGGAGGGAGAAACTGACTAAACAACTTGAAGATGCTTACACCACTGGTGACTTGCCGGTGTTCGATGTCCACAAGTATCTCTCTGGTGCTAAAATTGGCCGCTTCGGTCCACGTGCTGTTGCCGCCAGTGGTAGTAGCTCCAGTGACTCGGATAACTCCAGTTACGATTCTTATCGATACGACGACAATCTTAACATCAGATACGATGACCGATATGATCCATCAGGCAGGAGAGCGAATAATATTCTCAACGGTTCATTCGAGATTGTTCAAGATGGAGGGACATTGCTCCACATATATTCACCTCATGTGATCCGAGCTATTGAGTCGGTGGCAGGCAATTTCCCCGGAATCGCCCGTGATACTCGATCGTTGATCGTCCCAGAGCCATTTTGTGCACTGTTGTACTTTCGCGACGAGTTATTGCAAGGAGATGCTATTGACTTGGCTTCTCAAGACGCGCAACCAACAGTAAATGGTGATGCCGATTCAGATGCAACAGACTCCGAAGCATCTGATGATGAGGAGGTAACGCGCGAAGATGCACTTATTCATATGAAGCTGTTATATTCTTTCCTTGACCCACATTGCCTCTCGGACATGCTCCGAGAGAAAAGTCGCTGGCAGCGTCCCACCCCAGTCTGTACTTTTGAGTGGCTGTGGCTCATGTTTCCTCCGGGAGAGCTTATATATGAAGGAGGTACCACCGATATCGAGATGATGCAGGCATATCAAGTCAAGAGCTTCTCTCTCGAAGGCCCTTTCAAATATGATGACGATGATAAGCCCATTGTGAACACAAGAAGATTACGCCGAAGGGATAAAATGTCGGCAGGTCATTCTATCAAGCGGTTGAATATCCGAGTCGCATACCGCACGCACGATGGCAGAAGAGCAACCTTGAAAACGAAACTGTTTGTGGTCCATCCATTCAAGGGCGAAAGAAATATAAATGAGCTTGAGATATACCCGGCCAAATATTTCAAGGATCCTGATGGGGCTACTCGGAAACGACTGGTCGAACGTGGCCGTCGCTATCAAAATCTGGCATCAAGAGGCCAATTCGATTATCATGGCGATACCTTTTCCGGTGTACGTCGTCGACTCGACACTAGAATTGTCGTCGATTTGGAGACATACTTTTACGCACCTAAAGCGACAGCTGCACGGCCCATTGATGCCGAAGACGAGCCCTTGTACGGTTCCAGAGGTCGACCACCGTTATACCCAGAAGCCGATCGCTCCGTATATGACGACAGTGCCTCTGATGTAGGTTACAGGACATATAGAAGGCCTGGCCGGAGTGCGGATCGATGGCGGGGCAGAGCACCTAAGACGTTTCAGTCTACCTCATCAAACAAGAAGCTTAAATTGGTCGCGAATGAAGAGCTTCCTGAGGAGCAGTATCTCATATGCGTGCCCACGATTCAAGCGTACATTCTGCAAGAACGTCTTTGGGGTCAGTATATTCATTCCCTCCACTTCTCGTTCATCACTAATCGTGTCCAGAAACTCTTGCAGTGGGATCGATATCTGAGTGTGTCTACAACGAGCGTCTTCTGGACGAGTTACAGATCTCAAACGAAGCTCGCCGTCTGGTCCAAGCACTATCGCGTAACTATACCAACAAGTTGAAGAACCTGAACTCGAAAGATGGTTCGAACGAAGATCAACAAGCTCCGTGGACTTCAGATTTCATGCCCAACAAGGGTGGAGGCCAGATTATCCTCCTTCATGGCAAGCCCGGAGTCGGTAAGCTGCTATTTCCCCAATCTTCAGATAAAACATGACATTGTTCACTCACATCTACCCAGGCAAAACCACCACAGCAGAATGCATCGCGGAACTCTCGCACCGCCCTCTCCTGACAATCACCTGCGGTGACCTCGGCACACACGCATACGACATCCAACGAGAACTCGAACGGTGGCTCCACCTCGGCACGCTGTGGAACTGCGTGCTCCTCTTCGACGAATCCGACGTATTCCTCGAGTCGCGCACGCACGGCGACATCTACCGCAACAGCATCGTGTCCGTCTTCCTCCGGGCGATCGAATACCACACGGGCCTCATGTTCCTGACGACCAACCGAATCGGCAGTTTTGACGAGGCGATCCTGTCGCGCATCCACGCGGTGCTACACCTGCCGAACCTGAGCATCGAAAACCGGCGCGAGATCTGGGACACGTCGTTCCGCAAACTCGCTGATGAGCGTCCGATGATTAAAGTCGACTTTGCGGTGATGAACTACGCTTACAACGATGAGAGGATTCAGAAGTTGGATTGGAACGGACGCGAGATCAGGAATGCTTTCAATACCATGATTGCGTTGGCCGAGTGGGATGCTCAGCATAATGATAAGTACACGAAGGATGGCAAGGTGTTAGTGACGCGCATGCATTTGGAAGAGGTCGCGACCATGAGTGGCACTTTCAAGGAGTATCTAGAGGAGTTGAGAGGCATGACTGAGGATGATCATATGAAGACTCAGGGGATTCGTGGCAAATGAGAAAACTTGGGGTTCTCCTGACCGATATATTATATTACGAGATACGATGATGACGATGATAATGAGGCCATTGATCACGTTCTTGGGGACATATGCTACAAGTACATATATTATGACAGATCTGCAAAACAACAATACCCTGTTCCCCTTTCAAGTCTACTTGCAAATGTTTGAAAGCCATGCAGGCCTCACTCTATTCCTATCTCTCGCCCATACGAGTCCCGATCAAGACACTCCCGGCCTCGAAGCTTGAGTATGAGCCTGTTGTGCAGCTACCACCTTACCCACCTCGCCCTTCAGAACCACCTCCCCACCCGCATCGACATCCACCACATCCTTCAACACCTCACCGAGCACCTTCTGGCACGAATCCCTCTGCAGCAACAGCCTCAACAACACGCCCTCGGAATACCCCTTCTGTGCCACCAGAGGCAACAGCCTTGCTAGCACGGCCGACTGCGACTTGCCTTCCCGAAACCGCCTCTCCATCAACTCTAGCGTGCGCTGCGCTTTCACGGCCTCGCGCTGTTCGGCCGTCAGTTGTGCCCACCGGCTGTCTTTCGACAGGTTCCCGACCATCGAGAGCGTGGCGGAGCGGTCGGCCAGGTATCGGCGATTGAAGAGCTTCAGGAGTGGAGTTCGTCGTTTTCGTTCCTCGCGCGCTTTGACTGCTGTTTTCTTGTGCGATAGGAGGGATTTCGGCCAGCGTGGGGAGTCGGTTGAGGGGAGTGGAGAGTTGGCTTTGGAGGTTGGCTGGGAGGGTGAGTCTTCGTCGTCGTTGGAGGTGGCGTTGGATGCGTGGGAGTTTATTAATCTGGGAGGTGGTGTGGAATTGGAGGTTGGGAAGCTTTTAGAGCCGACGGACAGGAGGTGAGATGGGAGGAGGTGGATGAGATGGCTTTGGAGGAGGGGGTCTTGGTCTGGTACCACGTTGATGGGGGGTAGTGATGGTGGGAGATGGTGCTGGAGAAGACGTCCTTGGTCTGATTGCGGTTTGGTCGAAGTGGCTGGTTGAGGGTAAATGGTACGGGGTTGTTGTAGAGGGCCGAGATCCGACATGACGTTGGCAAGGGGGTGTGGAGAAGAACTTCGCCTGAGGGAAGTCCGTGGTCGTTTGGAACTTTCCGAAGTAGCAATTTGGGTTGGTAGAGGAGTAGTCCTTTTTCGTTTCCGATTGCTAGTCGGTTCGGTCTCTTCAGAGTCGCTGGACAGCAAGATTAGCGGAGGCTGTTGCCGAGTACCAGCATCATGTTGATTGTCTTCGTCATCGCCGCTTTCGGAAGATGATGACCAGGCATCATTGCTGACTCGCATATCGACAGGATAGCTGTTGCTGATAGTGCTTTGTGACTGAGGGCGTTGATACGTTGCTTGATCGTCCCCCGGTCCTGAGATTTGCGTGAACTTTGCCAGAATTTCTCGTTGGGCCAAGTCTTCTGACTCTTCTTCAAGCTCGCGTCCTGTTTCGATTCTTTGTGAGGTCGTCGTTCCCCTAAATGTATTCGTAGATTTTGTATCATATTGATTGCTGAATTTGGCAGTCTTCTTGGCCTCCACTAGTCCCGTGGAATTGTTTAACAATTCTTGCTGATCCTTGTCTACTCCATCCGGATCAGGCTCAGGCTCTGCTTCAGAATCAGTCGAGACCGTGGGATCCTTCGCGATTGTGCTTTTTGTATTTTCAATGTCGCTGATCTGGGCGAAGCCTGGAGAGCTTTCCAGTCCAGACACCCTAGGTGACTTGTCCAGATTTTGCAGTGGTGGCGTCTCTGCTACTTCTTGCTCAGATTCGGCTGCTGAGTCGCCATATCCGACGTCTCCTGTCTCAACGTCCTCGACCTCATGACTCTCAGCTTCGACTTCGTCCTCCACTTCTTCGTCGTCAGTCTCAGACCAATCATCAATATCCCGGTAGTAAGGCATTCCAGGTGGTCTTCAAGCTCTCAGTGAGACTTTCACCTCCTCTCATTGCAATATCATGTGTGAGTTAGCAATGAGACGAGACTTGTGATGGGTCGTCAAACACTGGCATGTGAGTTGAAGCGGCAGAAAACTCACCGCCCCAAGACTTTAAAAGCAGCAACATCGGATAACATGCTCCGGCTACGCCAGGCTTGGCGCGTCAAACGACTGCAGAGTGACTCCCGCGAGCTTTGAACCTTTGAGACTCCCCAGTCATACTCAGGAGAAGGTCTAGAAAGAACTTCTGTGATCTATTCAGGCTTATTTTGATACTGTTTGTCAGTGGTCACATATCTCTATGACCCACATTAGTCGGTCTGGGCAAACTTCGCTCGATGAGCGGATGACCTCACTAGCATTAGACATCTTTTTGAGGCTTTGCTTACGCTGCCAGATATCTATCGTCTACGGATTATTGTTCTACTTGAGATTCAACGACCTGGCAAATTTACTCAGGTGTCGTCGTGGCAAATTGCCTGAAATCCTGAGAAGTGCAATCAAAGCACTGGTCCGAATGATGTTGATGACAGGCAGCTTTGAGTGACTGGGCGCACACTCTTGACTGCGTCTGCCTGTGTTTCGCCACACGAAGGCTCAGCCTTGGTGTGACTGTCCAAGATTCTGTTTCCTCTTCTGAGATTAGGATGAATTGCGCGCAGTAAGCAGCATGGGCTGCAGATGGACCTGGTAGTCTGATTGCCAGAAACGCTTTCTATCAGAGAGTTCTGGCAGAGAGACACAAGAGGAGGACGATTGGAATTGATAGAAGAGCACGGCATATAACTCCATCTTCGAAACATCTGCAACCCTGTAGTGGTGATCAAACTAGGAAGATGCTGAACGTCTGGTCTCTGGTTTGGCACTCTACTCGTTTGAGAAGTAAGATACTAACTAAGGAATTGTCCTCTATGTCTAGGCAGCAGCGACGATAATGGCATGATCAGGCAGAAGAGCAGTTTGTCGCAGTGAGACACGACTACTGCTTTCCTGGATCACCCTGAGCTGTTGAGAAAAAGACTTCTGGGGCATGTGACATGTTGCCGACCACCTGCGTTTTGAGCGAGACGATTGTGGCCTGCTCATGAACCATCGGCAATTGAGATTTCTCTTTGAATGCGCCTGCTTCAGCAGCATTCACTTTATCTGACTAGTGAGGACTGCTGCCTGCTCTTTCAGTAGCCGCTTGTTGTGAATCAGCAGGCAACCGCCGCCAAGACTTTCAGTTTTGGCAGCAATTTCAGAGGTATAAAGAACCCTTCCTCCCCCATCCATTCTCTCTTCTTTTCTTTTTCTTTTTCCAACGCTCTTTGCCTTCTGGCTCAGATCAAGTGTAGTAACTGTTCTTCCTTAGCTTGACGGCTAGGATGATCTCCAAGGAGATCCCATCGTTCAAGACATTCTTTGAATTTCGCAATGAGCCTGTGAACTTGTTCACAGGTCTCTTGCACTTGTATCCGAAGTCTTCCACTGCCACTTTGTGATGCAAACAGCTTCCTTTTCATCATGACTTTTACCTGGAGTAAGGTCTTGGAGAAGAGTTGAAGAGCCCAGAAGAGAGGTTCCAGGGAGCTGATGATAGCTATCGTTGAGGTCTCTGGGCACCCATCAACCCGGATGGTACTACTGAGAGCCTACATGGTCAACTGATTCTTCGCCCTGCGCCACTTGCCCACCCAACCTATTGGATTCCTGCTCTTCTTGTTCTTCTGATGAAACCAAATCTCCACGACCTGGGTGTGAGCACCACGAGGCAACCAACATCCAACTGAGGACATAATGAACAAGACAGAAGATGCCCCAGTTCAACCTCAACTGCCGAAAATAGCCTTCCCCCAGGCAGCGTGCTGAAGAGCACACAATCGAACCCTAAGACCAACACAGTCACCCTACAAGTCACTCAAACCTGCAACCATCGTCCATCATCCATCGAGAAACTACGCCACAGGTAAGCCCTGGTCCCATCCTTGTTCTGGCTACACCGCCCCGATGAGGTCTCAAAACCTAACAACAAAATCCAGCTTGCAAGACCCAGCCATACGTGTGTTAGCGCGCTCATCCTTGAGCCTAAGGTCACAACACGTCCGCACCCAACAGTCAGGCAGTCTGATCTCTTCTAAACACTCATCATTTTGCAGAAACTGGCACGATTCGACATGTCATTTCTACAGAGACATTCCATGAATTTACAACCTCCCGCGCCCTCTGGTCGCCCAGAACTCCCAGCAGACCACTATTGCAACATCCTCCACCAGGACCCCCCTCTCCCTGAGTCTCAGAAACCACAGGTTCATCGGTGGGAGTCTCCACATATACGCTGATACAAAATCAAAATGAAGTGCAAAAGAAGAGGCAAAATTGACAGGAGCACAATCCACAATCTTGCTGATATAAAACTAAGACGGCAGAGGTCCAGCATGGGGCTCTGGAAACTCAAAAGCCCAGTAAACGCACATGATATTAATTCTCCGCGCGCTGTGAGTGATTCAATTGATCAAAAGGAATAGCACACAATTTTCGCAGTAGGTGAATCCACTGATTGACACCGAAGTTACTGGCGTTGAAGCCCAACTCTCCACTCATTCAATGTTTTATTTTCAGCTCGAATACTAGTAGCTGGAAATGCCATCATGTCCGCCTTTTGCGATGAATCATCCATCTTCCATGACTGAGAGAAGTGCTGCTTCAGACCCTATAACAGTAGTAGCTGTATGCATCCGTTGCTCGCCATGCAGGAGCAAGCAATATCATAATCTGGCACGGCGACCATGGACGTTGAACAAGCCACAGTCAAATTGGGTGCATGAAGCCGGATATCTGGCAAAGCAGAGGAACAAACAGCCTCAATGACAGAATTCTCGCTTTGTGTTTAGACTTTGTGTGTTTTATCATGTTCAAGCAAGGCAAATGTTTGTGACAAGTGGTTAAGAAAGGTGGTGTCACGTGCACGGCCCCTGGATTCACCAGCCTCGTTTGTATTTTGATCTCTGGCTTAGAGAGAACGTTTTTTTGAAAATTTGAAGAACTCAGATATCATATTCAGCATGTACATGAAACCTTCATTTTGCAATGTTCATTGTTCTGCTCACTCTAAATGTGTGTTTCTCCTTTATTTTATGACGGTGAATTTGAATCAGAAAGGCAATGTCTTAAGTTGATTCACTTGCGGTGCAGCTTTCTTCGGTTCCTTGCACCCTTTTCTTCTCATATCACAAAAACAAACAACAGACGCTGAAACCGATATCAAACACTCTGTTTGTCGATCAACTGTTCTCCAAGGCTCAACATGGATCTCATTCAGCGACTTATTGACACTTGGGACGAGGTGCCAGGCACAGTCATCAACCATGCCACAATCTCTGACGACGTCATGAGCCTCAGCCCTCTCGCTTATCCTGGACACGTTATCTTGGCCTTTTGGACGATGATGTGCAGCGAATGATCCTCCACATCTGCGAACAGCTCAATATCATCAAGCCCAACCTGCATCTCAAGCGGGATCACTTCGGTGAGCTCTTGATCTCTTGGCTTGCTCTCCATGGCATACCACCTCGATCTATCGCCTACGCACTGACACGGTGTAAAACTTATCCAATCCTATCTGGACATGTAAGCCGCGAGCAGCATGCTCAGATCCTTTACCATTTCACAACACTCAATTTTCATCAACCCAAAGTGTCAGGCCCCTCTCATCTGGAACGTGAGATTCGTTCTGCCTGCAACCCCGCTATTATGGTCCAACTTCGAGGCTTCATGCCCACTTGGGTCTCGAAAGCGATGGGACATGCTCTTGTGGACCAAGGGGGGAAGATCTGTACCATAGGACCTGGGGGTGGAGAGATTGTCTACAAGCACGATGGCACAGACAAGGACATTGACAAACTCCTCCTCCACCGAAGTATTGAAGGTTCGGGGCCAAGGCTCTCGCGCGGAATTCCCAAACGCCTCAGGGATCTGATGTATGAAGGCCTAATATCTGAGAAAGTGGAATGGTTGGGAACGGACATGATTGCTTGGATCGAGAGTAAATTAGGCTCCAAGAAAGGCGATAGTTTTGGAGAGATGAAGCTGATGGAGAGGAAGCTCGCGGAGATTTTACAGGCTGGCGAGATCCCTCGGATGCTTGTAGGCCCAAGACCTGTTGTGAGGCGCGCAAGAATCGTCTGAAGTGTATGCTGAGTTGTCAAATGACAAGAAAGCAGGTCTCTCTTTTGCAGTCAAATACACAGAATGAAGGTGACATCACTTCCACAATGAATAGCGATTTCAACATGATATTAAATGCCCTCCTCAGTAATGAAGAGGACTTATTCAGCTCCTAGGTTCTGTATTTATGACTTTTGGAATTTCGAATTGGTGCCGTTAACATGCTCTGCTTCTTGTACTCCATGGGTCGGATGGGCAAAATCAACTATGCATCCGCACAGATTGGTGGGAGAGCTGTTAGATTTTGCTCCCTTTCTTAAATCGTGGGAGAAACAAGTACCAAGACTCCGCTGATGTTATCTCCTATCTAGCTTTGTATTGGATTGGGATATATTCACTGCGCTCTTCAGACTTGAACACTCAATCCTCAAATAGAGCTTGGCAATGTTCGATGGATGGGCTTGCCCCCCTTTTACAATACAACCCTGAGAAAAACTTTCTCACGATCAGCGATTCCTGTCATATTGTCATCCGTTCACTAGTCTACTTCCAGTGCCGACTTTCCCTTGTTCCCCATACTTAATGCACCGTAAGCATTCAAACCTGCGTTACCAATAGCACGATCTGTGTGCAAATCAAAATGAAGCAGGGAAGATTTAAATAATTACGGGTCAAAGCTCTTGTACGACACCAGAAATGGTTCTCGATTGGTCAGCCCAGACAATCGTGCATCGCCAGGAGCATTGAAATATTGCTAGAATGGTAGTGAGCTGCGGGCTGCATAGCCCTCTCCATTATCACGCACATCTTCGAGTTCATCGATGAAGCCTCTGGATCTAGGCATACCACCAACGCCACGCAAGGAGTGTGACCAGGCAACCCCATTGGAGAACGTAAGTTACCTGATTTGGATAGCGCTCCACTTTGACTTTACATCACCTCATTTTCAAAAACGACGCATTGCAAAGGAGAATTACAAACAATATCCAGCTCTGCCATGCGACTGGTATCTACACTCTGGAGAACATTGCAGGCAGGTCGTGACGTGTATCAGTTCCAATCGACACCTACCTGCAACATAAAATCCTTGACGCCAAGGCAAATCATCAAACAGTGGATGTTGTATAAGAGGTTGAATAGCGCAGAACTGCTCTAGTGAAGCATTGCATTGCTCCTCACTGATCGTCCAATATCGCTATCAAACACCCCACATCAGCAGTAGTATGGCCCATTATCCAGAACACATAGTTGGCAAAGCGGCCCAACGACCTTGGAAGTCAATCGCGACTTTTCCGGTGGGAACTTTCTTGGAGAACCTTGCTGTCCGCGCAAATGGATCTCTGCTTGTAGCAAGCATGCTCGCCGGCGAGATTTATTTTCTGGATCCACACGCGACAGATGTTCAATCCACAATCTGCAGACTCCATCAGTTTGTTCCTGAAAATGTGGCTCAAGACAATCCGGAGCCTGGAGCGTGGGGAGGAGGCATGATGTGTGCTGCAATCGTGGAGGATACGAGAACAGAAGATGTATTCTATGCCTTGTCTGGTATACATGGCCAGGCTGGTTCCTGGGGGGTCTATAAACTCGACTTGCGTTTCTTCGACTCGGATGGAACTACAAAAGTGCAGAAGCATGCAACAGTTCCATGGGCGCTATGGCTGAATGGTGCGGCTTTCATCCCAGGGACCTCAAAACTTGTCATGGCCGAATCTCTTGGTGGTAGGTTGAGCAGTCTGGACGTCGACACCGGAGATGTCGAGATTTGGCTTGACAATAACCTCCTCGATAAATTGACAGACCGGGCGGAATGGCCAGCAGCAAATGGATTGAAGTTTAACGGAGAAAACGTATATGTGACCAATTCAGATCGAGGCCTACTACTTCGGGCCCGATTCGATGGAATCACAGGCAAGTGTATTGGTGACAAGGTGACGGTAATGGCAGAGGGATGTGCAGGAGATGATCTCGCCTTCGACATAGAGGGCAACGTGTATGTTGCAACAAATCCAAACCAGACTGTACTGAAATTCTTCGGAGTCAGGGCTCCGGGAGCTGAGCGGGTAGAAGATCGTTTTATTGTTGCTGGGGGCTTCGAGTGCACTGAGACTGCTGGGCCAACTGCGGTGGCATTTGGAAGGACAAGCGGCGACGAACAATCACTCTACGTGGTCACAACTGGTGGACTACTCGCGCCCATCGGAGAAGCTCCTGGGCCGGCAAGGGTGCTACGGGTGGATGTTGGAGTTAAGGGCGCACCATTGCTGTTCCCTTGAATACGCGCTCGAGGGTTCTACCATTATCTTTGAAGGCTCACTTGGGCCCCTCACCGAGCAGTAGCGACTTCGGGGTGGCTGGAGCTGAAGATAAGGGTGAGATATTGACTGCATCAAGAGGGTCAGAACGATCCTTCACTTATGAAATAAAGAACCGTGGTAGTAGTTATGGTCATCGATATCTACCATACATATAAAAGCATAGCTCAATAAAACAAAGCCCTTCGCCTTGGAATCCTTCAACTACTCGGGGTATCTAGAGAATGCTCGACCAGTCTGCCTCCTTTACATATTCTTGCCAACTCTTGAATCGGTATTCTGGCAAAATCTATGAGCCCATTGTTAGCTGGAAGGCTTTAACTCGGAAAACGAACACCTACGTCTCGTATAGGAATGATGTCGTCCCTTTTCTGAGCCATGTAGTTTCCTGTTCTGATGAGCAACAATTGTTCAGTTACGTTCTGAACGATATGGGGAGGCATTCCAGCCTCGGCCATCTTTTTCGAATACTCTTCTGGCTCAATTTCTTGAAATATTGTACGGACACCCAGCGTAGTACCAAATATTTCTAATCTCTCGGCGTCGGTCTGCTCTTCCGCTAAGAAACTGATATTTTTTCTCATGTAGGTGGTTCCAGACTTTAGAAGAGCATTGATGGCTGGGCCTAAGTCGTCCGGATTGACAGAGGCGAATATCGTAGACGAAGGATATGGTTTTGCTAGAACGTAAGTTGGTGGGCTTGTGGAAGAGTCCTTCTGTGGTCCAAAAGGATAATTGAATTTAATCCAATTCGAGTAGTAATATCCCACCCAGATACAGATCGTCTTATTCCAGAGTGTGGGAAACTGTGTTTTGGAAATTTCGTTGAGCTCGTTCTTAGCATTGTAGTGGAGCACGTTCTTGAACTGGCCGTTCGAAAGCTCTACAGCATTTGGAAAAGAACTTTGAATAAACACTTCAAGAGTTGGGAGCGTCGATGCCGCTGATAGAATTCGACGGCCCTGCGCTACTTCGCCTTCAACTGTATATACAGACCAGAAGTCAGTGTTCGCATATATGGCATGCGCCCTCGCAACTGCTGAGTTCACGTCTTGTTCCGAATCTAGATCACACTTGACCACTTCAGCCCCAAGAGCTGCTAGCTCAAGTGCTAAAGGTTTCGTGACATCACGGGTCAGGGCTCGAACGACATAGTGTGATTTTGCAATTGGATCCTGCAGGAAATATTTCGCAATCGGATAACCTTGGTTTCCGGTGGCAGTAAAGATAACAACAAGACGTCTGTCCATGGTATCGTAGGAAAAGTACTGGGTCAGGGCGGAGTGGTCAGCACTGCACAGGATACTCTTCATGATAAGGGGAAAAACCAAGTGTACTACACATTATATAGCGACTTCAGCGGAATCCCTCGTGTAAACAAACTATTTGTAATGCTAAACTTTTAATCTTGATTTCTCAGCAACAGGATAGCCTTCCGCCTAGCTTTGCAGATGAAGTGTAGGGAGTCCTTCGAAGTGCGCAGCAAACGTGCTAAGCTCCCCCGAAATCATGTAACATTGACAGGGATACATCAATACGATGAAAATTCGACACGAACGAGTCCTTGGCAGAAATCGCGATGTTGATCACCAGCATATCACCTCGCGCAAAAGCCACAAGAATCAGACATGCTAAATTTGTGTACTCGAGAGACATTTTAGCAGATTGGACCCTGTGTCACTAGCCCCAACAAATGCCGTTGAGAATTACTTCACGCCTTGCTAATCTCGTACACATATTTCAAAGCACTTGCATTCCCATTTTTCAATTTCTCCAATCCCGTCTGGATGCCATCAAGTCCTCCAGGTATGATCTCATAAGGATGTCCTTTCAAGCTACCATCCGCCATTGCAAGCTCCACGAAGCCGAAAAATGTCTTTGCGAGCCAGTGATTTACACTAGGGTTAAGCTCAGTCTCACTTGGAGATGTGAATACAAGGGGGCTTATGGTGAAAGTTCTTTTGATATCGGCAAGCCTCCCAGTAGCCTGTTGCAAAGGTAACACAGTTGCGATATGGCCTGTTTTCTCGAGGACAGCGCCCAGAATGTTTTGACTCGCACCCTCTGAGATCGCATCGAAGGCGATGTTGGCAGTAGTATTCGCCTCTTTGAGCGCCTGTCTGATCCTTTCAATGATTCCAGACTCTTCTCCCCGATAGTCCACCACACGATCTCCCTGCTGTGCATCTAGTTGACTTTCCACAAAGCTGATGGACTTGCCAGCGACGGCGATAATTGGATGCAAGTTGCTCAGTCTAGCTAGCTGAATGGCGAAATTACCCACTGCGCTACCCGCGCCATAGATTATAATTGCATTCCTTTCGCCACCCTGTGAAGCTGCATGCCATGGTTCAGTCACACACAACACTCTCCACAGACCAACAGCAGCTGTCGTTCCCGTCAGAGGAACTGTGCTCGCCTCCACGAAGCTGACGTTCTCGGGAATATGAAAGGCTGCATATGCCCACAAGATGGTGTACTCAGCGTCTGTTCCGTGCTCGGTGCCGGGATTATGGAAACCGGCGACTCTATCCCCAACCGAAAAACCGACAACACCGGCACCAATCTGGTGAACTATGCCGGCAACATCATCACCTTGATTGCATGGTGGCTGGCCATAGATTGTAGAACGTTTACAATCTTTTTGATTAGAAGAAGCAAAGATAGTACGAACTAGAATCTGGCCTCGTAGTGGTGCTGGTATAGGTACAGATTGAACCTCAACAACAGGTCCAGCAAGTACAGTTGCAGCACTCATCGACATCTTTATATATCTGCAGTAGCTGAAGGACGCGGGAGAATATTCCACAAAATTGGTGAAGATCTTGGGGCAACCTAGAGTATGATATCGATTTCTCCCTTCGCGGCCAAGATGGGAGCTTGAGTTTCCTTACGAGTACTATACTGTGTCAAGAACATGGTGTATTTACTGAGGTCTAGATAGCTGCATGCGGCCCTACGCGACGAAATGGAGCTCCAAAACAGCCACGTAAAGCAGCCAGTGCATTTGCATAGGGAAACCACTGAGGTTGTTCGACCTTAACAGAACTACGATTGTACTGCTACAAAGGCCAAAGAAGGCGCAAGACTGGATAGGGTGTCGATTGGGCTACTCAGATTTCCTTTTCCTGCAAGTGGAGTTGCATTATTCCCAGATGTGGTAGCGGGGCTGCAAATTACAAGGGTTGATGCAGCTCGATCAGCCACCTCGTAAGCGAATTGTGCCCCGACGTATCTTACCATCTTCTTGCGGAGTCGGCTGCAACGATTTTGTCCCCTGGCGATCCATATCACGCCATTGAAAGCAGTCGCAAACTATGAAGACCACACATTCTGAAACTGTGGATGCGAGATTCTCTCTAGCGCCAATTGTCTTTTCTTTTCAAGAGAGCTATATAATGACATTGGGACTTCCTTCCACATTCAAGATCTCAACAATGTCTGCGCTGAAGCTATTAATAGCACATGAATTTTCATTAGTAGGTTTATCCATTGCACCATAATTCAAGCGGCCTGGCGATCATCCTTTGCCATAAACCCCAGAGTTTAGATATTGGCTAATAATACTCGGCCAGCGAGCCAAGTCACCAGGCCGGCTACGATGGAGGAGAACTGCCGCTAGACATGGTCTGCTTTAGCTCAGTAGTAGCTATGCCCCTTATTTCAGTGCGGTCTTTCTCACGACTAATGTCTTTCTTCTTCAATGATGCTAAGAGCTTTGATAGTTGAAGAGATAGAGAAAGAGACCAGATCTCGCGACATTTCCGACAGCAGGAACGATGACAGGGTAAGTCAGTGGCATGATCTTTCGAGGCGGCAGCTTGTTCTTGCCTGATACAGCGATGTAGGTTTGTGGTTCAAACTGTCTGCGCATCACTCAATGCTTGATATCGTTGATTCTGGTTGGTAGATAATTATGTCGTCTGTGGTCCCGGCGCTTATCTGCAGATGAGTCAGTCGACAAGGATGGAAGCGCGCATGACGCTAGAGACGGGACAGGTCCTTAGAGCTTACCATCTTCTGACTAAGAGCTGATTACTTGACTTGGACATGGGGTGGGCGTCTGAAGAGGAGTATAGAAAGCGTTCAATTCAGATTCAAAAGCTCGTTCAACCGGCGTTGGCTGGGTTCAGCAGATATCAAGTGCAGACCACCCTCCCCGACGGATCACATGAGCACTAGCAAGGAGAACAGCAACCACGGACAAAAGTTAGGGACAAGTTACTAGGCTCGAAGCACGGCATTGCTCCTGTAACTCATCGTTGCATCTCATCATCGCTGAAGTTGGCAAGACTCCAGAAATCACTCTGAACGCTGGATCGAGGTTTGTGCAGGCCAAACATCTGAAACATTGCGATACTTCGGAAGTCACGCGCCAGCCGGTTTCTGGAGTGCTCGGTCGCCACTTCAAAAGTTCAGTGTTGTCAATCCATTTCGAGGAGGCCGTCAACCTCTTTGTCCATTATCAACATCTTAGTGAGGGGCATCTGCGCATCGAAAAGCCCCCTTTAGATGTTGACGGTCGCTTGAACCGCCTGATCATAGCCTTAAGACCATAAAGTGGACGCAGAATTATCGATGCCGTAGTGCCTTCTAATTTCCCGCCGAATTTGTCGAAGTCCAATTGTTTCTCTATGAGATGAGGTTACAGCAGCTCATACTGGTCAATAAGACAGTAGAGTCAGTATCTATTTCACAGAGTAGTGGGCATGAGCGCATTCGAACGCGGCGATCCGAAAAGTCGCAGCATGGGACCATTTACACAGATTCTTTGATCGCCCGGTCTGGGCACCCGAACACTAGAATGGACACCTCCAAGCAAAAGCCTGTCAAGTGGGGAAAGAAGCCCATGTCATCCTTCAAGGCTCTGCCAACGTCTACCACTGCGACAACCTCGCCTTTAAGAGAACCACAAGGGCAGAACAATGACACTTCCTCACCAAGGAATGTGCTATCACGACTTCAGCATCAACCTTATCATTCCTATCAGATTCCGAGATTTCCTCAAGGCGAGAATGACTTGATGGACCCATTTAGCGCTACTTCCGTTCAAGTCAACCCAACCGCTCATAAATTGTTGCAATACTTCCTGCATGTTCACCACCCAAATATTTGGCGCTTGGAACATGTTTTGCGAAGCGACAAAACATACAAATTCCAATGTGATGCCAAAGTAGTCGTTCAGACATGTCTCAGCGATGAGTATAGTATGTATTGCTTACTTGCATCGATGAATGGCCATATGATACACATGGAAGGTATCAACACCGGTAATAATGACTGCCATTTCATCTCAAAAGCAATCGCAGCCTCTCGAGAATATATAAACAAAGGCCGGCCAATTACACCACTAATGATCTTCAATACTTATCATTTGGGTTGTGCAGAGTGGGTCAGGGATAACGTCTATGCCGCATATGTTCATCTTCGAGCCGCAAAGTTCATGGTGGACAGCAGTGGTGGCCTTGAAGCGCTGGACCAGCCTTTCGCAGAACTCCTTGTTCTTGGAGACGGCTTTGTGGCAGCCGAGTTGCAAAAGAAACCGCTTTTCTCTCACCAGGAACTGCAGCGAGTAGACGAAGAGCCTGTGGAGGAATACGGTCTGTATTATCTGCGAAAGCTCCTGACTGGCTCGGTGCCAGCTGGAGCAGGCTTTTTGCTTTCAAGCCAACATTCAATTGTCCCACCATCCCTCAGGTCCATAGTCATGGATCTCGCCGTGGGCGTCAGCATTATGAATTCTTACTTTCAAACCCGAATGGATCAAGTTGCTCCTGTCGCAGTCGTTCACTGGGTTTTCCGCCGCACTTTGATTAATCGCCATTGCCTTCTTAATCTTGAGTTCGAAGAATTGAGAAGCGAGGCACTGCGACTTGCCCTCATTATGTGGACGCTGAGAACGACTGGAGCAGGACGAAAACGTACGTCGAGAAGTATGGCCCCGTATTTGCGTGAGATATTGGTCATCATCTCGCAGGCGTTCTGGAACGGACATGAGGAAATTAAGGCATGGATCCTGACTATCGGGGCAATATCCGCAGCTCCGAATAGCAATGAAAACAAGTGGTTCATACGCGAGCTCTCTTCACAATTCTTCTACGGAATTCGAGACTCGACGATTGTCTTGCAAGGCCTGCTTGCACGGGCAGGCCGATTTTTAATGCTGGAGGCAACAGAACGTGAGACATTGGAAGATCTGTCACATGTAATTGTAGCTGCTAGCACGAGCCCGAGAGGAGGGAAATGGTAAGGTAGTTATCCTTGAAGTCGGTCCTCCAAGTTCTCTTGCAAATTCCGTACTCGTTCACTGGGTAATTACTTAGCTTCTGAGAAATCGTTGTAGATGGTGCAACCTTGCGTTAAGAACAGGTCAGCTCGATTGAGCAGTACTGCATAATTACTGGGCTACTTGTATCTTGCGGCACACCCAAGGCATAAGCAGTAGTCACTGAAATGTGTTCAGCATCAGCACGTACGTGAAACCCAGGAACTGCTCAATAAGTAATCTGAAAGATTGAGATCACTGTCATACCTAGCTGCCACGCGGCTGGCAGTGGTGAACAGCAGCACAAGTTCTGCCTTTCACTACTGATCACTCTCACTCTTCATGATTTCCTTTCACTGACTCTTTCTTCTTTCTTCTGTCTTTGGTCATTCTCACTTCTCGAGTCTTTTCTCTTTCCACCACTATTCATACTCATGGATGATGTAAACATCCTGCGAACCTTCAACCATCATCGAAAACCATAACAGCATCTCAACAGTCAGGAACTTTCTCTACTCGCGCACCATGTCGATCATCCAGTCTTTCGTTGATAAATTGAATGGCCTTCCAGATGCCACATTCCAGCCTTGCGACTGGGAGGAGTTGCGCTTGGCTATTCTTCGGTGCTATGGTGGCGAAAGGGTCCGTTGGAGCCACGTCTTGGGACGCTTCAACATTCCTGGGACGACTTTCTCCTTGGTCTCCTCTCGCGAGACCACAGACTACCCTTCGGAAGTCAGCTCGTCCTAGCAATGGTCCGCGATGTTTGCCGTGAAGTTGGACTTGCCCACGCTGACTGCAATTCTTTCAATACTGCTCTACCGAATTTCCATCAATCAAGGATCAACTGGCTTGCTCTCCATGGTATACGAAGTCGATCGATTGCATTTGTGATGAGATGCGATTTTGCAGTATTCGGCCATCTCGGTTCCGATTACCTTGGCCCATCCGTCATGCTTGAACAACATGTCCAATTGCTCGATCATTACATTAGACATGCCAGTCATCACTTCGTAAGAACATGGCCATGCGCCGGTCGTGTAGAGAATTTCCTGATATACCCAGAGCTTTGGTTCAACTCAAACCGAAGACTTGCCGAAATCCCGTGGAATTCCACTTACCAACTCCTTCAAGTTGCAATGGCGCATGCTCTACTGGATGATGAAGAAGAGATATGTTCTCCACGAGCGATACATCACACGAAACGATACGGATCTATCGATGAGCGTAACGAGGAGCAAGAAGAAATACTTTTACTATGGAAGACTGTGGCAGGCCCTAGTCCTAGATTTGCACGGGGATACAGCATACCTAAGAAAATCAAGAAACTCATGATCGAACGTCTTGAGGAAGAAAGGCTGGATCTTCAGATCAAAGTGCAGTTAGGCTTTGAGGAGGGGGACGATATCAAGGAATATGAGATCATGATTAACAACCTCAACGACATCACTTCAAGTCGAGAAATTCAACCAAGGCTGTCAAGGTTTCGAAAGTAGGCATCGATGACAACGACGGTTTTGGAAGAAGAGTCAGTCACTGGAAGCTCCTGTGATTGCTTCTCATACCTTCGAGAACTAAGATAACACATTGTTGGTTTCCACACAGCGTGAAGGCTGCACAATACCACCGGTCCAGTGCCTGCGACCGCCGTGGACTAGAGGATGAAGCCCAGGCACTTGAGTAGGTTCGCCTAGGTAACCTCTTTGTATTAGTTGCAATACACGCAGCGAGTCCAAAAGTCCAATTCAATGACTGATGAGCGGAATAATACCTTATGTTTCATTCTTGTCCCTTTATCGGGGCAACTTGATACTGAAGACAGCGAACTCTCCAACAGACTTATCGATCAATAGGCAGCACCATGAGTTAGCGTTGTGGTGCGGGAGTGCACAATGAACTGTCTTGTAGGTAGAAACCTATCTTTTGTACTCTTTCTCATCTAGAATCCTTTCATTTCCAGCTCTCCTTGTTCCTATATCTTTGTGTTTATGCGGTCTTTTTACAACATTTTCTCCGTTTCCTCCCCCTTTGCTCCAACAACTCCACACTTCATCTGCTACTGAGCCCAATCAACTGTCCCTATATAATTGGAAGATGCCTTGGCTTACATTAAATCCGAACATGGCTGTAATCCATCATCTTCTTGACTACTACAATGCTGTGATCGATGAAGTGCCAGGCGCAACACTCGATCCAGCTGTTGTCAGTCAACTACCTCTTACGATCCCCACGAGAACTATCGACCGAATGGTGTTTTACCTCAATCAGGAGTACGGAATTACTCATCCTGGCAGGACTCTCAGTATCGACGAAATCATGGATCTCAGTATGGCAGACGAGATCCGTTGGCTTATCCTCCACGGTGTGCCCAGCCGATCGATTGCATTCGTGATTAGGGAGTTCTTTGCCGTGTTGTTACCTGATCAGAAGCAATATGCTGAGCAAACCGCTCAAATTATTGAACACTTTCTTTTCTATTCAATAGGTAAGGAAACAGCCTTTTGGCAGATCAACCAAGACACAATCGATATGTGTATGAATTTGACTAACCTTGCTGCCACTCAGGGACAAAATTGGCAGCAAAGACTAAGTCTACGTTACGCGCTTGCCCACGACATGATTCTTCGTCTCCGAACATCGATGGAACACGCTGTTGGTGACACTGGTGGGTACATCATTATTGATCTACCAGACCGACAACCACCATTGCACAAAATTACCGGCAGCGAGTTTGAAGAAGTCCTATTTCGACGAATGATTAAAGGGTCCAATCCAAGAGTATCATATAATATCACAAAGAAGACCCGGGGCTTGTTGCACGGCCACTTCAGTACAGACAAACTCGGTCCCGAAATCGAAGCAGCTTTCGGCTACATGGAAGGTGACGGCGAGCTGGAGCTGGCATTGATGACCGAGAAAAAGAAGGAGATTTGTCGTACCAACACCATTGACAAAAGACTGACAGGCCCAAGAGCCGTTCCAAGGGACTTGTTGGTGAAGCGCAAAGCCAAATAATCGACTATTGGGTCGATTGAGATTTTGAGGCGCACAACCAACCAATTGTGGCCACTGGTATAAGTTGTCAAACTTCATACCCAGCACTGAACTAAGGTGTCCCACAGTCTTGAGGACGCTGATCATGAGTTGTTCCTGCTGAAATCGAACTTCCATGCGAGGGAGACAAAGGTTAGCAGACTATGGGCTAGATTCAAGAAGCAAATATGACCAGGTATGCATAGCTGCCTCTAACTAGGATACAATTAATGATTGCGATTGCGATTGCAAGACGCCAGCTTCCAGGCACTGTCAGCATATCGGGGCTGTATGTGTGAATAGGTCCTGAGTCACCAGGAAAGCCAACACCATATGGAGAGAAAAGCGGTAAAAATAGTGATTTGCTAAACCGTTACAAGGTCTTTTACCCTCTTTAAGATACTAGTAGTATGCAATACGTGCCTAATTTTCAGAAGTCGATACTCTTATCAGAGCTGTCCAAAGTGAAGTAGAAGTGAAGCGCGACTTTGTTGTCACATGCCATTTTGACTGCTTTGTTCCTCTCAACCTGCCACTTGGGCGATTTCTTCAATTGCTATTCTGGCGTTATCCCATCGCCTGAGTGATGATCTCACTTTAGATATAAAAACAAGAAGCCCACGTTCCAACAGAGTTCATTCCAATCATATCTCGAATTTCTCTCCTCTCGCAAACACATACACTATCATGGCTGGCCCCATATCCTACCATACGTCGCAGCACGCTTGGGTTGGGCGTTATCAACACCCTTGGCTCTTCACTTTTTCTCGCGGACTACGTCTTGTAGGAGGATGCCACGATACACTCACGCGTGTAATTGAGAACATGGCTGTTTACAACAATAACGGACTCTCCAGGAATTCTATTTATGATCCCCCCAAAGGGCCAATTCTGGCTCCCGAGAATGCCCTGATTATCTTATGGCTCGCAGTTCATGGTGTCCCGAGTCGATCGATCGCATTTGAGCTTCAATCTCTCATACCAATGAAAGAAGGACTCAATCAAACCACAGCTCCACAGATTGAACTTGAACGGCATGTTAGAATTATCGAAGAGTTCGTCATCAATTCCATTGATAGGCTTGCGGGTCCCATTTTTAAGAAATGTTGGGGAACGGGTGACTTCATTGACACCATCTGGTCGGCTATCGCAAAGGATGACTTACTACGCGGAGCCACCATTCGTATTCATCGAGCCCTGGAGCATGCGTTGTTGGACGATGGAAAGGAGATCATCCCCACTAATTCCGTACACCGCGCAACCCAACAATCAAGTCTCTATGTGAGCAACCCGGAGGACGAGGAAATGTTTTTACTGTGGAGAAGCATCATAGGCCCTTCGCCGAGATCCTCGCAGAGAGTACCCAAGAGAGTCAGGAATATAATGTCGAAGCGAAACAAAGCCAATGACATTCAGCGCTGGATTGACAAGACCCTATCCTACACGGATGGTGGTCGCGACAACGAAAACGTTTTGATGATGCAGATGATGGAAAAGATTACACGAACTGGGATCATTGATCGAGAGCTTCCTGGACCGCGACCATTCTCAGATTACATCGGTGGAAAGCTGAATGTTGCTGACGGAAGAAGATGGCTACCGAGTTGAAAAGTGAGGGAGACCACAACCAACCGCTCGTTTGGGTCGAGGCTGTTGAAGAGGTCGAACATTTATGCTGTGGGTGCAATTAATCTCGAGGGGCGATGAGAGTGCAGACACTCAAGCAATACTGATCTACGATGATGAGATGAAGACCAGTTGTATGAGTACAAGATTCCAGCTACCGTCACAAAATGTACAAAAAAATGATCGAGTACTACTGATATTGCTTTGCGCAATCGTTTCAAAGATACAATCTACGGCTTCCAAGCTGTGACTTTTTAGGCTACTCATGAGTAAGCATTGGGAATGCTTGGAGATCATCGCCGTGGTGTTACGAGGCAGTCAGGAGCATCGGAGCAGTCTTCACTGCTGTTCTTGTGCGAGGCTGTAAGAAAGTGCGTCGCAGCCTTTACGTGCTATTCGTTTGCGAGGCAGCAGTGAAGTCTGCGAGGATGCGATGTGCTGCCTCACGCCCATGAAGATAAAGCAGGATGTTCTGCGCGTCTTCTTTCCTGTGTTTACTTATATTACCATAATTCATTCACCCTATCCAAACGCCTTAACCATTACCTACCTCTGAGCACACCAGTCCACAGTACAAGAGCACCGAGAACGCTACGATTTCCAACCAGAGCCTCCACCACCATATATCATATCAGCATAAAGGCTGACAGCACAAGTCATGGCCAACATCATGAGTACGCGCCCCATTGAGTTATTCATGGAATACCTACATGGGCCAGCAACGAAGGCACCTGATCTCCGTCTTCAACGGTGTATTGGATTCGAAAAATGGGACTTCACCCCATCCTTTGGCTACTACCCTCGGACAGAACACTACGTCAAGAAAATGATATTTTTTATATACCAAGAAAACCATAACATGCGACCGCAAACTCTCACACCCATCCAAGTCATACCATATCGGCTCAGCCGCAAGATCCTCTGGCTCGCCCTTCATGGCGCACCAAGCCGGTCAATAGCTTGGGCGATGAGAAATGACTTTGAAGAACCACTTGAACGAGGGCGCTTTCTCTGGCGCACGAGCCTAGAGCAACAACTTGAAATCACCGAAACTTTCGTTCGAGTCTCAATTGGTGGCATGGCTGGGCGGTCGCACTATGTTAGTAGAGAGTTTTACGTGAAAATGGCGACGGACAAGCACGAGGGAAAGAATCTGGACTATTGGAAATTCAATCCTGGATGTCTCTATGATGCCATTGAGCATGCATTGCTAGATGAAGGCCAAGAAATCTGCTCTGCTCGACCAAAGTGTCATACCACTCATGGAGAGGCTACAGACGCAGTCGATGATGAGGAGAGGTGGCTACTGTGGAGGAGTATCGAGGGCCCCACGCCAAGATCTTCACACAGAATCCCCAAAAAGATGAGAGACTTCATGTTCAATCGGGCTAGGAGTGAGAAGATGAAACATTGTGTTGAGGAACTTTTGGGTTATGGAGATGGGGAGCTGAACTGCGACAAGGAGGTCGGATTGATCCACAGAATGATGGACAAGATCATGTCAACTAAATCGATCAATTGGGAGCTTCCTGGACCAAGACCCTTTTCACCATACGTGGGTACTGGAAAGAACCCTGGAAAGAAGTCTGGAAAGAAGTCTGGAAACACGCTCGAAGAAGCACTTGAGGCCGTGAAATTGTGATGAGAATGGTGCAATAAACGCCAATATGACTATCAACATAATGAAACTGAAGCCTGAAATCGAGATGGTTGGAGGATATGTTGTTGCACGGAATACGGACTGCAACCAGCCGACGGGTCTATTTGATCGCTCCACAGGTGTTCTCAGCCCACTATGAATTGCACGGTGCTTTCCGCATGTCTGTCAAGGTAGACATGTCGTGTACGAGAGTCCAGATACCATACCCCAAAAAAGAAAAACAATGATTGCTTAAGACTGCTCTTGTTGGTTCAATCCAGGCCATGAAGCCCCAGGAAAGAGTCCCCATACTCGCAGAAAGGGGTCACCGTGCACAACTACCCCTTAACGCGCAGTCTGGAGATATGCCATATATAGCATCTGACAATAGCGTCAACCTCTGGCCCTTGGACTTCAGCAAAGCTGTCATCCTTGACTGGCCTCCAGCTTTACTCGCTGAGCCAATGTACCACCGAGTCTCATGTATGAGAGAATCACGCACCTAAGGTGGCTCCATTTATTGCTTAACAGAACTACTATTAGGCTATCGAGCATACTTTTAAGAAAATGATTTAACTCCATGATTGGAACCCTTTTTGCAACAGACCAGGCGTTTGTAGCGCAGTTTCAAGCCCTCTGGATTGCTTTTTACCTTGACAGAGACTTGTCCTCCCCAAAATTGGACTAGTAGAACTCTGCGGAAGGATTACATTGAGTGAGACATGGGATTTGAAACTCATTTCTACCGTTTGCGAACACTAGCCAGTGGAGATAAGAAGCCTTTCGAATACACATTCGAGACTCTATCGTTCCACGATCTACTTCTTAGGGATGTAAGGATCAAATGGAGAACACAAGCGACCCAGATCAACAAGTGGACACAAACATATGGTCCAAAGGACGCCAAAGGAATCATCAATAGAAGGGCGGCTCCAGCAGACCAAGAGAAGGCAAAATAAAGAGTTGAATAAGGGGTCCCAATCATGAGGTCCTGAATTTGGGAAACTTTGGACATGGAATTAGATTTATACGCAGTTGCACTATTCTTTGTCCGAATCTTTGTTACACCATGGCCTTTGATAGCCTTACCAATCACTTGTTCTGACCCCCTGGAGCAGGAGCAATGAGTTGACTCCTAGCAACGTTGCTCGCAAGAAGTGGTTGCCCACCTACAGTAGTGCTCGGCCAGTCGCAGTTATCTGTTTGACAAACAATGTGGGATTGGAGATGATTGCAGAAATCAACATTATCTCGAGGCAGTGGTGAAGCTCGGCAAGATGCAAGAGACTGCCTCACGCAAAACTGCCTCAGGAAGACGAATCTGGGTCCTTATTTCTTTATTTTTCCATCTTCTTTCCGTGTTTGTTCTTCTCTCCCTACAACTCCTCCTTCTATCTAGATACCTGAACCAACCCGAAGCAATCAACCAAAGGCACATTTCGAAAGCAGTCCAAATCGCAATAAATTATCCCCACAGAATGACGGCTTGTCTAAGTCACTCTGTCCTAGTTGGGGGGAATAAGTACCTCGTCCAAACATTCAGTGACTATCTGAAGCAGGACCCAAAAGCCATTGCGAAATTGAAGAAGTATATACCACGCCGCACGAAGTCTTTCAGAAAGGATCTTGTCGATCCGTACCGAATTTATCCGTATCATCCATATCGTGTTGAGTGTACTGAAAGAATGATCTGCTATATCCATCAAGAACTCGAGGGAAAGGGCAGGACCATCACAGAGCATGATGTTATAGATGCTTTTGAGAGACGTGAGATCCTTTGGCTTGCCATCCACGGAATCCCAAGTCGATCAATAGCATTCGCGCTGCGAGGAAAGCTTGGAGAATACGACTTCGATGAGTGGTGGCCCGTCTACGAGGACGAGTTTCCTGCCCTCGAGGAGTACATTGAGGTGATTGAGAACTTTGTCAGGCTCTCAATCAGTGAGAGGGCAATGCATTGGCGACAGAATAACTCGGCCCACGAAGTCAAAGAGTACTTTGTCAAATTGGCGAAGGATAGGCATGAGGGAGAGGATCTGAAATACTGTGGGTTCGACCCTGAGACTCTACATACCGCCGTAAAGCACGCACTCAATGACACCGGGGCAGAAGTCTGTCCTATTTCTCGGAAAGTTGAGCCAACTCAGCATGAGCAAATCTCTCACGACGTCGACGAAGAAGAACAATTTTTTTTATGGAGAAGTGTCGGCAGTCGGGTTCAGAATTCAAGATCTGTTCCAAGACATATCAGAGAATTGATGGATCGATGTCGCAAAGCAAACAACATGAAGGTCTGGCTTGAGGAAGAACTGGGACTTCGAAAGAGCAATCCTGAGCAGGATCCAGGTCTTTGGGAGAGAAACCTCGAGATGGAACTCGCCTTGATCAACCGGACAATAGCTCATATCACGAGGACTGGAATAATTGAGCAATCGCTGCCAAGACCGATTCCTTCCTTGAAGTCCATGGACATTGATTTCATCAGCGACGACGAGGACAGCAACAGTGAAGAGGACGAAGACATGGAGGACTACAAAGAAAGCGACGATGATGGCGATGAGGATGGAAGTGTCGAAAGTGTCGAAGGCACCAACAGCGACGATGAAAAATCAGATGAAGAAATGGGCGGATTTGAGGATCAAGTCGTTGGAAAGAACCAGCGACGAATCTGCACCATGTTTACTGGAGTTCCATGTTCACTTGAAGACATCGAATGAGGGACAATCTTGCTGTCAGGATGATGAACCATTCTGCATGGATGCTTGGACAATATTGCTATCACAACGATGAACAACCTTGCTGTCACGATGCACTATCTTGTATGAGTAATTAGATACCAAAGCACACAAAACAGAAAAAAAATTTGTTTGAGTAAGGACGAGTTCTTCGAAAATCGTAGACTCCAATAAAGGAGAGGAAGTTGTCAGAACAAAGTTTAGAGGCCTCCACCAAGCACCAATCGGCAAGCGGAAATGCATCCGTTCCTGCTCGGAAAATCCCAGGCATCATCATCATCAATTTCCATCTCAGCCTTGAGTGTTCCTGGTATCATACATACCTAGGTATTTCGATATCATCAACAGTAGCAAACAGAAGCGATCTAGAAATCATATCGACTTCAAGCCCCAACAACACCCCGAATACAAGTAGCACATCATACCAAAGTGGCTAAGCAACAACCATGTCTGCCCCAACACCCCCAACTCAACACCCCAGCGACGAACACCACCCCTCAGAACCAACCTCCAGCACCAGCACCAGCAGCACACCCTCCAACAACGACGCCGCCGACGATAATACCACGACAGGCGACCTGCCCATGAGCATGCACGCATCCGTGATCCTAACGAACCTACCCAAAGACGCCAGCGCGGCACTCGCACTCGTCGACGACCTCGACGATTTCAAAGGTTCCCTAACATCCCCTTCCCCCCGCTCCCTCGCTTTCTTCCCCAGACTAATTATCTAACTACTCCAGTGTCCGTCCGCTTCCAACCGATCGGGTCGGCGCCGATGTTGAAGCAGAAGGTGTTCAAGATCAATGCGTCGTCGCGGTTTAGCGTCGTGTTGAATTTTCTGAGGAAGAAGGTTGGCGTGCGCGAGGGGGATGGCCTTTTTCTCTACGTCAATAGTGTTTTTGCGCCGGGGTTGGATGAGGGCGTGGGGAATTTGTTTCGGGTAGGTTGTTTCTCTCGTTTTTGCTTTTCTGGAAAGGATTTGATCTTGAGGAGGGAGTGAATGCTAATGATTGTTTTAATTATCTAGTGCTTCAAGGTGGACGATCAGTTGATCGTCAGCTATTCTACTACGCCTGCTTTTGGATGACCAACAACTTGGAAAAGACATCAACGATGCTGCATGGTATTCCCCGGGCTTCAAATACACCACTAGACGCCCCATTCGGTTAACGACCGCTAACAAGACATTACGACTGTCCAGACTGAATGGCGTTCTTGAACGCTTCAGTAACCTTGGCATCACTCTTATAAACATGTTGAGCAGCTGGATAACTCCGGTCGGTGACCTCTTGTTTATATTGGCTAATGGCTTCAAGACCCATCTCCCACATGGAACCATATTTCTTGACGAATTTGGGCATGAAGGCATCTGGTGGACGGATTCCAATCATGTCGATCTGAACCAAGACTTGACCACTTGTCTGATTGCCAGCACCGATACCGATTGTTGGAATACTCAGAGCATTGGTGACTTGACCAGCAATGTCTGATGGGACACATTCTAGTACAACGGCGAAAGCGCCAGCATCTTGTACTGCCTTTGCATCTTTCAGCAAAGCCATGGCTTTATCCAGGGTATTCCCTTGGACACGAAACCCACCAAGAGCATGTTGTCGTTGAGGAGTGAGACCGATATGTGCCACTAAAGGAATACCAGCAGTGGTTATTTTCTTGATGGCAGGTGCCATCTCAGCACCTCCTTCAAGCTTAACACTCTGCATACGACCTTGTTTGACCATTCGAATGGCACTTTCCAAAGCCTGTTCAGGGCTGATTTCATATGAACCCATAGGAAGATCACCAACTGTGAAGGATCTATTGACGGCTCTGCTGACAGCTCGAGCTGACATGATCATTTCATCGAGTGTAACCTCGGAGGTGTCTGGCATGCCTAGGGATACCATAGCAAGCGAGTCACCGACCAATATCATATCCATTCCAGCTTCTTGAGCCATGAGGGCCGAGGGAAAATTGTGCGCAGTTAACATTGTGATTGGGTTATTGTCGGCGTGCATTTTCTGTAGAGTTTGAATGGTGACAGGTTTCTGGCCTCGGGCCGAAAGAGAGGGAGACGCAGGGGAATGCGAGCTCCATCGCAGTTGCTGCCTCAAGCTGTTAGGAGAGGAGGATATGGTAAGACGGGAAGATCTAGAAAGTGGTCTCGTGAGGTGGTTCAGGTATGAGACACGAGACATGTTGACTGCGGTAGCCATGTTGATATTGTTTTTGATTCAACCCGGATTGCTATTGGGACCAGGGAAAGGAGGAAAGTGGAAGAGAACAGCGGTTGACAGATTGTAGTGTCCGTGAGTCATTTCTTTTGAGAAGAGCGGTGGGAAAAGGTGAGAAATTGAGGTGAAGACAGTTGTTGTCGTGCTGAATTGTAGCAGCGTAGATCTGAGGAAGGGACGATGATATGTATTTTGATGGACCTCGGTCTTTCGATTCTCGGTTTTGCTCGGGGAGGTCGGTTGGGGAAGATTAGGCAAGGCTTCCGGGCTGTTGCGGCCTACTCTGTGGCTAAGTCGGTTCAAGTTAGGCTTTGTCCGCTGACTCGTCGGGAGTCTGGGGCACCCTGAACATGCCGAGGAGTACCCTTGAAGAATAGAGAACGAGGCCTCAGGTGGCAAAACCGGATAATGCTGCCCAGAGTCCGAAGTGCAAGGCTGTCTGTCAGCCTTCGATCGTCCCTGTTATGGAGTTTAGGGCACCACCCACCACCCTCTCACGTTCATACGTAGGCTAAGTAGCCCTATTGATTGCTTCATTACCAGATCGGGCCCTGGTCATCCATTGTCATTGGTGAATGATCATGGTCATCTACATCGCAAATCTAGTCTTTTGCCATGGCATGGTCTTGTTGGATACGAGTTGTCCGTCCTTTCTAGGTGTTGGGCACACCAACTTTAGGCGGGACCCAACCAAGACATTTAGGGATGAAAGGAGGGGCGATGAGGTGACGTTCCCCGCCCTCAGTGGATAGTCCCGGTGAGTGGTGACCGCTTACCACACTGCGAGTCTCCTTCATCAGTCACAACTTGAACTGCCAGCAACTACATCTTCTACCTTTGACCAACCTTCTCTTTGTTCCACTTCCAACGCCCTCCAGTTGACCAATTCACCCAAGTTGATCTACTTCCTATCAAGCCCTACACTTCCGCCAGACAAAAGGTCAACCCGAAACTGACGCTCCACACCAACTCCGGTCACCTGCACACTCTCGACACCTGACCGCATTCCCCGTATCGTGCACTCGCTTCACTTCCGACTTCGCTTCCTCCTTCCGTTGCCACCACACTCAAACCACACTTGCATCGATCCCCATATCCACAGGACAGATCAAAACCTATATTTCCCGTTGGTACCTGAGATTAATCACCGGCCAAGAGCCAAACTTGAACACTTCCGGTGTTTCTTAGACCAAGAGTTCCATCTCAGCAGGAGAGACCGTCAACATGAGTAGTCCCAAGCGGAGGATAGAGACGGATGTCATGAAGCTCATGATGAGCGATTACGAGGTCACTCTGGTCAACGACAACATGCAAGAATTCTACGTCATCTTCAAAGGCCCGACAGAAAGTAAGAGCATGGATCTTCCCACTTGAATGGATATTGCCAACGGTTACTGACTGACGGACTTTCTCGATGATTACAGCACCCTTTTGTGATGGTAGATGGAAAGTTCACGTCGAGTTACCCGATCAGTATCCTTACAAATCGCCTTCCATTGGCTTTGTCAACCGCATCTTCCATCCCAATATTGATGAATTGTGGGTTTTCCCCCAGGAGAGACTATCTATGTATGGGCGAGGGTACTGATAAGCATATATAGGTCGGGATCGGTTTGTCTGGATGTCATCAATCAGACATGGTCACCCATGTTCGACATGATCAATATCTTTGAAGTATTTCTACCACAACTCCTGCGATATCCGAATCCTACCGACCCACTGAACGGAGAGGCGGCTGCTCTTTTGATGAGAGAACCAAGGAGTTATGACGCTCGGGTCAAAGGTAAGGAGACTATTTCCTCATTTGATGTGCTTGGGGTCTGAACGAATGGCAGAATACGTCAATCAATATGCCACCAATATCCACGATGATGCGGATGAGGAAGAAGGCGAAACGGATGGCGAACTTAGTGAAGTGGAAGACTTCAACAGCGATGGGGAAGATGAACCTGCTGGGAAACTGGAAGATGTTTGAGCATGGAGTCTAGGAGCCCGGGGTTGAATTCTTGTCTTTGGATCTTCACTCAAGGAATGGCGTTGGGAGGTGGAAGGGTTTGATTACTGCCACGGGTACGGAAGCAGGAGTTGGCCGAGGCCATGGAGGGTGTCCGGACCATCTCGTCCTCGGTACGGATGGATACTTTTGGATTATTCACACGAGAGAATGGATTGCTCTTTTCTCTTTTCTTATTTTTAATTGTCAAGAGTGTTTGGAGTATCGCACCATGCTCTGGCTCGCCTGTCAATCTGACATCGATTACCTCGTACCCGAGTGCTCTGTGTAATGGTGGAAGCAATGTCCCTTATCGCGCTATCGAATGCCTTGACCACCTGGGCAGGCTGCTAACCACTGCAGTACTAGCATTAATCAAAGATAGTCCGCGTGACATCTGTGTCGCCATAATGCGTCATTCTGATCCACTTGGACCTTCGTTATCGATACTCCAGCTGCTGGTACCCTCTCATACGTCTAGACCGAACGTCCACCTGTTCTTTGCTGATGACAAGGTCGCGAAACGGAATATGACCAGGCTGAAGAAGACCCAGGACTATTGAATGAAGGCCAAGGTGTTATTGTGCGATATGGAGCAGGTCTGGCTTGCATGGACCTCCCAGGCTTTGAAAGGCACCTAACCGGGGGCTTAGAGCTAACTCTGTCAGCAGATCCGGGGTTGCCAGACGCCCAACAGATTGTTATCGCGCTGGAACGAAGCATATGCAATTCACAGATGAATTGTTGCAAAAGCCATCCTACTTCTCATCTGCATTTGATTCTTACAATAGGCGCGCTAGGCAATGTTCTGGCTCAATCGGCTGCTAACTGCGTAGATCGGTTGCGCCCGACTTATGCTCACTGGACTGTCTGTTTTCAAATATGAGAGGTGATTTCTCTCGCCTATCAATCTTCGTGGGCATGAGCTGTGCATGTCTAAGTGATTGGCCTCCAATTTTACACAAGATGCGTGCCACGTGTCAATGCAATTGCCCGACAGGAAACGCCATGGGGGAAGGGCCAATTGGTTCTGGGGCACGAATCGGTGAGGCTGAAGCCTGAAATTCACATTCAAAATTCGCTGTTTCTTTTCTGACAAGATAAGAACCACATGCTCAGCTGATTTTCTCTTCGCACGACGCATATTAGCCTCCAATTTCCCCCCTAAGTGGACACCCTTCGCGGCCAGCACGAACCCAGGAATGTCTCTCCCGGACTTGCCAGGAGTGGATATACTGAGGTTCGCGGAGAATGGGGAGGTGCCATGGCAGCGCGACAACGACTGCGGTTCAGACGGTCGAGGGAGTTATTCAATTGTGTTTCGAGCATTGAAAGGGAATGAGACGTTCGCCGTAAAAGATATACGCCAAACAGAAAGGGCGGAGCAAGGGCCTCACTTATCCCCGATCGAAGTCTCGAAGTCTGAGATTAGGTTGCTCAAAGTCTGTGACCACCCAAACGTGCTCACCTATGTAGCGGCCTATACGAATGACAAGATCCCAGACCACATTTACATCGTGACCCAGCCTTGGGCTGACATGAACCTGGCTGACTTTGTGGGAATTGAAATCCGGGGGAAGTGGCCAGATTGCAAATGGTGGACCTCGAAGACTCCATTTGATCGATGCTGTCTTTTGTTTAAGGGTCTTCTCGACGGCTTATCATACCTTCATTCACATGCCATATTCCACAAGGACATCAAGCCTGAGAACATCTTGCTCCTTGGAGATCGACCAATCCTTGCTGATTTCGGAGTCAGTAAGCTGTACCGACCAAATGGGGGAACAAGATACACCAATTCCACGCCTGAGTATCTCTCACCTGAACAAATAGCTCATGAATCGAGTACGCCCCAGGCTGATGTGTTCGCCATGGGTTGCTGCTTTCTCCATCTACTGTCTATCGCGGATAGCAATTCTCAATGGCACAAAGAAAGCCAGGCTGTCTTCTACCGGGAGGACACCAATTGGCAGTACGGAAACCTCACCATGGTTGGTCGATTACTGGAGCTACTTCAACGACAGATGAAGTCACAATCGTGGCCACTGCGCCTCTTGGGGTGTTTGACGCGTGAAATGCTCCTTGAGGATCCTGGGCAAAGGCTGACTTCGACTGAGCTACTAGCTTTGTTACAGACAATACATACCGACAGTCTGGATCGCTCCCTGCCTATCCTTCTGCAATCTCAAACACTGATACTGGAAGATGCGGTATCTGCCCATGACTTTCAAGAACCAAAGATCTCCATGCTCGTGGCTTTGACCAATCGCAACCAACGACAAAGGTTGGATGATCCGCAATTACTTCCAACTTCAAAGGAGCGCATAGAGCTAAAGGTCTCTGTGGACACTGGTTCTTCATTCAACATCATCTCCAGCGCGACTGTAGAGCGCCTGATAGCGGGAGGCCTCTTGGAGGGGACTGACGCGGCCGACATTACACTTTTTAGTGTTGGTGGCACGATTCACGTCACGCGATCTATATGGATTGCTGTCGAGCAGCTTGATTCGAGGCTGATACGGTCTAAGTTCCTGGTGCTTGACAATGCGAATGCTTACTTTCAAATCATGTTTGGGGTGGCCTTCCTCAAGCAATTGCCACCCCAGACCCGTTCCGATATGTTTAACCACCTCACCAGGTTAGATTATCAATCCCCCGCACCAATGTTGTCCCTCCCAGCCGTGATCTTTTCAGCGACTGGGTACCAGCATTTGGTGCTTAGGCTTCTATACGAGAATTAATTGCCGAGAATGCGGTCGTATTTACAATGGTCGTGTGGCTCCAAGCAGACTGATCAGAAATCGTGACGTGAAGAGATAGATAGTAAACAAGCTACCTAATGCTATGCATCTTTCTCCTAGGTACCTAATGTAATTGTGATATCTGCTAGTGGTTAGACCTACCTACCTATGGAAGCACGAGGCATCTTGTGACCCGGCCTTCAAGTTGGAGATGTCTCCTTCGTTGCGAATCGGTCGCTCCCACCAGTCAGTCTGGGGAGTCGATATCTGCCTAGACACCTAGGTACCCACGCATACCTGAGTAGCTACGCAAGTACATTAGTAGAAGGTCAATTAGCTAGGTACCTAATCCACCAGGGAGATAGGCACCTTGGGATGTTAGAAACAGGCATCTGGATTCTGAAACACTGGTGACATCGCAAGGCTCCTTCCTGAGTACCCCAAACTCCCCTGTGGAGTACTTCGATTGATCGACTGCCCCTCACTGGACTGGGCATCACTGTACGCATACAACTCGCCTCGAAGCTCACCTTCATCACCCCATCTCTAGCAACTTTTCTCCTGCTTAAGAACCACTCAAGCCATGACCCAAACATCACCATCAACGCCCGAACTTCTCCTCACACATCTCCCCCCAGAACTCCTGCACACAATCCTCACACACCTCGACCTCCCTGACCTCCTCCAAACAAGTCGAACATGTCATCTCCTACGACACCTCGCCCTCGACCCTTTCCTCCACAGCACGCGCCTCCACACCGCATCCCTCACCCTCTCGCATCTACTATCACACCGCGCCTCCAAATCCTCCATCAGCCCGCCAACATCCTGGATCTGGATGTCCCGCACCAACGTCCTGTCGCGCCAGATCTCCAAATCCCTCATCCGAATACGCTTGGCCCATAATCTTGAACATCGGCCGACCTCTGCGGAGCTCGTCGAGCGCGCAATCTTGCCTCGAGTCTGTGGTGCAAGCTACGACAGTCCCGTTGCACCGGGCATCATTCAGACGCATCAGGCTGTTCAAAGGCGGAGTGTGCGCGATCGGCTCGCGAGGAAACTGAAAAGGCGCCCGAGCGTGCGCAGTCTTGTCGACCTCAATATCATTCCTGCTGAGTGTGTGTCGAGGACGAGTACCTCTACACCTGGGTCAACTTCTACGTCAGGTTGCGGCGAGTGCTGCACCGTCATCGTCTCGCCTGGACTCGTTGCGACACGGAGGAACGTGATCCGCGAACTGCTGAAAGACGGCCTGCGGGCTTGGGTTTCCGGCCGAGGCATTCAAGCGCAGAAACGAAAGGCCGATGAGTTGGAAGCGACGGAGCGCGCGACGGTCAAGAACCTCGTCCGACGATTCGCGGCACGGAAAAGAGCAGCGGATGCTGAGTGCGATGTTGTGAGGAGATGGCAACAGCAGCAACAACAAAAAGGGCGGAGGAGTCATGGTTACGGCTATGGCTATGGAACGCTGTGGGGAAGGGAGGCGGAGATTGCTAGGCAACGAGATGAAGAGCGGAGGGCGAGAATGGTGGGCGATTGCGCCAGTGAGGGTGGACAGGACCAGGACTGTAGCACTCGAAAGGCTGGTGTGGACTATTGGGGCGTTTGTGCTCAGCCGACTCGTGCTCACGTCCTGGGTCTCAAGACGTTTTGGGAGGGCGTCATTAGAGCTTCTGCTCCTGATTGAGACCAGACTGAACTTGGATGGATACGGGTCAGGTAAGTACTAACTGCTAAATTCTATGTTCTGGGTCAACATGTGACTCAGATGTACAATATGAGGTGGAATCATGAGGTGGAATGACATATCATTATTATGAGCTTCTTCGCGATCTGTGCATCAAGTGAGCAAGTGGATTTACGGGAAATATCCCGGTAGGAGTGCAACATGAAGCGAGGAGACATTGGCAACGAAGGACAAGAATAAACCCATTGGCCCCCGTCACGCTCACAGTTCCAAATACGAAGCCCGCATACACAGTATTCTAACGCGTTGATGATGTTTTTCGTCTATCATAACGCTCCTGTCATTAAACCCCGTTCCTTGCCCTGCCCAATGCCGATAGCAACACCCATGTGATTGTTGTTGTATAGCTTACACAAACAGAGCCTCCCTGCGCCTAACTTACTCCATATCCGTGCTGAGCCACTGCTTCATGGTGCGAGATGGCACTTGAACTTCGGAGAACACGATGCTGAGATGCCGATCATGATCCCAGCCCACATGCGATGCAGACTCTTTCCGTTTGAGGCCTCAAATACTCAACTTCTGATCCAACTCCATGATCCCACTGACCATAATCAAGTCAAATCAATAACTATCGCCCAAGCCCCTGAAATCCGGCACATCAGAATCACACTTAAAGTCCGGGGCGTAGGCCTTCTCGGGCAAGATGCCAGCCTGCCTGCCCAACATCCAGGACCACTGGACGGCACTCTCCGTCTTCCAGGTCCAGTAGAACCAGCCCCAGGCCTGTTCGAAGCTGTGCATCTGGGCCTCGGCATACAGCTGCAGGAACTGCTTGTAGTCGGCGGAGTAATCCTTGGGATCGGCGTTGGCGTTGGCACAGGAACACGGGGGACTGGCGCACGACGGCGTCAGCACGCTGGTCTCTGGGTCGCCCGTGTCGAGCGTGCCGGCCCAGCGCGACCCCTGCCCGACGTCGTTCAGGTTCGGCGTGCAGTCGGTGTCGGCCTGCGACCATTCGCCGTCGAGCGTCGGGCCCCAGCCTGTCGCCGGGTTGTTCGCCGTCACCATGATGCCCGTCCAGCCGGAGCACGCCAGGTTGATTTTGTCCTGGTGTTTGAGCTTCAGCTGGCCCACGTTGAAGATCTGGTACTGGTGTGTGTCCATCACGAGGTTCGAGTCGACGTCCTTGAACATGTCGTCCCACGTGTCGAGGCTGAGGAAGCCGTCGCCGAAGACCAGCTGTTGCGTGATCCCGTTGCCGCGGATGATGGCGATGGCTTTCTTGTTCCATTCGAGTACCGACGTCGGTGGGATCACGAGCATTTTCGGCTCGTTGACCAGGCCGTAGATCGTGATCACGTTCTTGTACCGGTCTTGCGCGAAGAAGGTCGATAGTTGGTTGTGGATGTCGAGCGAGCGTTGCGCGTTGGTCGCCCCGTTGGGTCCGAGAATCCACCCAATGTCGCCTTGTCGTCCGCTGTGTGCCCAGCCGTTCTGGCTGCCCGGCACGGCGTGCAGGTCGAGATTGACACGAAGCCCGTTTTGGCGGCAGTATTCGATCGCCCGGAGGAGGTAGCGCCAGCAGACTTTGGCGACGTATGGGTCCCCGTCGTAGGTTGTCACCGCCCAGTAGGGGAAGGGGATGCGGACGTGGTCTAGGCCGGCGTTTTTGATGTCGATGAAGCTCTGCTTGTTGATGAATGTCGCGTAGTGTGTTTCGAGGACCCTTTGTGCCGAGGAGCCGAGTTTCGCTGTTAATGTGTATTCGTCCACCACGTTGGCGGAGGCGGGATAGTTGAACATGGAGGGTGTGATGAAAGGTTCGAGAGAGAACCAGCCGCCGACGTTGACGCCCCGGATGGGCATTTTGCCATATTCCCATTTCTCATCCAAAGCCGGGACGTTGTCGTTGGCTTGCTTCGAGTCGTCCCAGTCGGAGTAAAGACCCATGACTGATAGTCCTCCTATCGTCTCTTCCGTGTAGGTGCAGTTGAAATCGGCGGTATCCATCCATGTTGAGATATCCGTATATGTTCCCTTTGCGCTTGCAGGTACAGACCCGGAGTCGCATTTATTGCTGGGACTTGAGCCTGATCCTCCACCAGACCCAGAAGATCCAGATCCAGATCCTGACGAAGATGACGAAGACGAGCCATTGCTGGATTTCTTGCTATTGTTGGCCACGACGACTCCCACAGGGATGAAAATAGCAAGCAGCACGACCAGTAGAATCACCACCCACCAGAACTTCTTCTTCGACATGCCGCCTCCTCCCTTCGCATTCCCCGTCCTCCGTCGGTCATCGTTCTCATCGCCATAGTACTTTCCTCCACCACCTCCTCCACCACCTCCTCCACCACCACGCCGATGCACACGTTTCTCCCCACCTCCTCGTCCCTCCTCCAGAATCGCACCGCTGACATTACGACTCTTTTTCCGCTTCTTCCGCTGCGACACCTCTGCGGCCTTCAAGTCGCTTTTGTACTGTTTCTTTTTCTGTTTCTGCGCCTCGTATTTCTCATGAAACTCCGCTTTCTGATTGTAGTTATTCAGCTTCGCCAGCGCACCCGAACTCAGCAGATGACTGGCGCTATCCGTCGATGTGCCCGAACTGTATTTCTCGCGATCTCTCTCGCGTTGACGCTCCCGTTGTTGATCGTGCTCGCCATCTCGTCGCGGGCTCTGTCTGGTTCCACCGCCACCGCCTGCGCCTGTTCCGCTGGCTGATCTGTGTCGGTCGCTCTGACGTCGGGGTTTCTTCTCCGGTGAGGGTGACGGGGCAGGTGAGGATTTTGCTTTCTCTTTAGCCGTGCGTTTGGGCGTGCGTGGTTCGTCTTGTGTTGGCGTTGGTATCGGGGCGCCTCGCACTCCGGGCGGTCGGTTGAAGGCTGGGCGTGTATCGGCCCTCGAGCCGGACTCGCGACGAGGCTTCGGCATGCGGGTGGTTGTTTGGTGGTGTTTTCATAGGGTGATCATGTCGGTGGCGTGGGCGATTTGGTTTTCTTATGATATTGTTCTTGCGTGATGGTTTTGACGAGGACCTAAGTATCTATAAATGCGTGCACTTTTCTTCGGCGGCTCCAGGTGGATTCGAGTGCTACGTGTTCCTTGATTTCATGGTCTTGGAGTTGGCCTTGGGATCTTGGGAGCCAATCTCTGTAACTTTTTGTGTTGGCCCGGCAACTGACTTACAAGGGTATCTTCGCCTATCTCGCTTACCTCAAGACTTCAACCTCAGAGACGCGTCAAGAAGATCGAATCTCATCACCACATCAAATTCTTCATTATCACCCATAGATTCAAGTTTGAATGCTATTTGAATGAGTAATATCATTATCTGTTCTGATACCAATAGTTGCAAGATCAGCACCCATCACACGTCATGCGACTATGGCGTACCTAACCACCACCGCAGCATTCAAGGCTCATTGACCGCATTCAAAGCAGTCTTCTTATTCCCATCATTCGTCGAATTGACATAGGAGGTGATATAAGCAGGAATCTCTTTGACCTTGTTCGTCTCACTTGGAATGGGCGCTTCGAAAGCTTCATACACTGGCACCACGCCCGTCCAGACCTTCTCCGTGATCTCATCACGACTCTCATCTTTGGCCTCGTCGTGTGGACCACCCTGACGAATCTTTCCACTGCCCGTCTCAATCTTGACCCTCAGAATCGTGGTAGACGTCATTTCCACATTATCAGGCGGGACCCGCGTATTTTCCCAACGCTTGGCAACCACTTTATCGGTGATCAACTGCATGGCATAGATTTTCTCGTCGTCGGAGTCGACCGGTTTGGCGTAACCTTGCAGAACTGCTGACCGGTAGTTATAACTGTGTGAGTTGGGCGTCAAGGACAACACCAGGCCGTCGACTTTGGTTGCCGCTATCGAGACGGGTAGTCCTTCAGCTGAGTCGCGAGCGATACGCATCAGCCGCGAACTAACGTAGCCGTGGAGATAGCAGTCCAATGGCTCGTCGAGGCTGGCAGAGGGATAGTCAAATGATCCCATCACTCCTATCATTGGGAGGATCGCCGGAAAGGGTTGATCCGGTCCCGGTGGGAATGAGACATGGAGCACTGAAGTGGTGTTGATGATGGTATGGATTGGTCCAAGATCATATGTTCCTGGGTGGGGTTCAGAATCTTTGCTCGATATGCCCCTTTGAATACTCGTTTGTCTTACCTCTATTGTTGTATCGCTTGAGAGTGTTTTGGGGCTTTTTGGGATACTCGAGATTCCGTACCATCTTGGCGACGGTTTTGCTGCTCGAGGTGTCTACTATTGACCTTTGCCAGAGTGTTCAATCTTCCTCTTATCCCGAAAATGAGATTCGATCATGATAGAACCCTCCCCAATGATATATATTGCTATTCAATGCGAAGGGCGTCAGTGGGCAAATCCACACACGTCCACTTCCGGTAGGTTTATCCGAGCCACGTGATGGATCTGGAGAAGCCCGCCCAAGGTCAAGTCTCCAGCTAAGGACTGCCCTAACATTCCAGGCATCTTGATTTTCTCTACGCGGTTCCTCAATCTCTCACCTCTCGCAAAGGACATCGCAGGAGCATGTCTATGCGGAGGACGCTATGGCACAACATCACCAGTGCTAGACAGCTCTTCCAACCATCCACAAAACCTCTCCGCAATCCCCTCCCTCGACAATACAACACCCTCTCCGTCAATGCTGCTGAACTTGCCTTTGGGCAGCCCGTCCATGAGACACATCCTCATCTCCTGGAGCCTGGAGAATTGACTCCTGGCATCACAGCCCAAGAATATGCGGATCGACGCACGAGATTAGCGGCCAAGCTGCCCGACAAAGGCATTGCTATTGTAGCTGCATCCGACATCCAATTCCGGACTGGAAGTGTCTTCTATGAGTTCCACCAGGATCCTGATTTCCTCTACTTGACCGGCTTCAACGAGCCTGAGGCCTTAGCTGTCATTGGCAAGGACCCTACCGGAACTGATCATACCTTCCACCTCTTCGTTCGAGAGAAGGACCCAAAGGCGGAGATCTGGGATGGAGCAAGATCGGGCACGCATGCCGCAAGAGATGTCTTCAACGCCGACGAGACAGATGATATCAGTCGAGTGAAGAAGATATTGCCAGATCTGGTGGGTGAAGCATCACAGGTTTTCACAGACATCACCACTCCTGATGCCAATCAATCCGCGTTGCAGCGGTTGCTCTACGGTCAAGGTCGCAAAACTACTGAATTTGTGGAGATGATCAAGTCCAGCAAGATCAACCGGTTGCGACCTGTCATGAATGATCTGAGAGCTTTCAAGAGCCCTGCGGAGATTGAAGTGATGCGGAAAGCAGGCAGAGCATCTGGTCGAGCACATACCGAGGCCATGAAACATGCTTGGACGAAGGAGAAACAACTGGACGCATACCTTCGTTATCGATTCGCGGCCAACGGATGCGACACTCTCGCATTCGAGCCAGTAGTGGCTGGAGGCAAGAATGCTCTCGGGATCCACTATGTACGCAATGACGATGTGCTCCAAGACGATGAATCGGTCCTCGTTGATGGAGGGGGTAAATATGGCGGCTACATCTCCGACATCACACGAACATGGCCGGTGAGCGGCAAGTTCAGTGATGCTCAACGCGATCTCTACCAAGCCGTACTGAACGTTCAGAGAAGCCTGGTTTCGTTATGTCGAGGAAGTGCCAAAGTATCATTGGACAAACTCCATAGTATCGCGGAAGAACAGATGCGCAATGAACTACGACATATCGGATTCGAGTTATCTGCCAAAGAGGTGGAAATCCTCTTCCCTCATCATGTGAGTCATTATATTGGTATGGATGTACATGACACAGTCGGTTATTCGAGAAAGGTTATCTTACAAGAAGGACATTGTATTACTATTGAGCCCGGGGTTTATGTGCCCGATGATGAGCGTTGGCCCAAGCATTTCCGGAACATGGGAGTGCGCATTGAAGACAGTGTAAGTATACAGGAGGACAGTCCGTTTGTCTTGACAACCGAGGCTGTTAAGGAGGTGGTTGATATCGAAGCCTTACGGAGCTAGTGGATTGTAGCAACAAACAACGGCCGAATACATACTACCACACATTCGTGCATATATAGTATTAGTAATTAAAACACCACTTCCCTTCAATTCCTTCTCGGAATACCATCATAGGATATTTTACGCGTGAGCTTTCAGCGGACCCAGTGATTTTGGTGGTGCAAACCTACTCTAGTGTGTCCGAGTCTGCAAGGTACCAGCTGGGAAATGATCTGCTTCTATCGGATAATGGCGTCACCTTAGCGAAGTGCTATCCACGCCCTCTAACAACAGGAATAAATATTCATTTCCCGTATTGAGTCCAACTACCATCAAAGACTGAAGTCGTTTTCTGTCGTTCAGAGTTTAGAGTGTCCTACCACCCACACACATTTCTTATTGCGTTGAAGGCAAAAGTACATTCCTTATCATTTTTTACTACATCACTAAAATATCTTGGTCCGGCAAATTTGCCATTTCAAAAATCGCCAACTGCAAAAGTTTAGACTCCAGACACTGTATATTTCATATACTAGAATTGCCCTACGGAGGCTCGGGTGATATCTTTATTTAAGGACCAGCAGCCCCGTTTCGAATCAACTGCACACATCTTGGAAAAGCGTAAGCCGACAGGGAACTCACGGGAACTCAGTTCAAATTCCATAAATCGAAATAACCTCTCGACCATCTAACAAGAACTTTGTCAGAGATATATATCTATACTGCCAATCCAATCATCAAACCATGTCAACAACGCAAGGCGAGGACGAAACTCCTACCGAGCGAAGTCCTCTCCTCGATCAACAACAAAGTACCACCCACAACAGCGCTGGCAATGGTGCTATTGTCGAACCTCAGAACGTACAACCCGTGGCGAATGAAAATGGGCAGGATCCAGAATTGGCCGACGAGCCGTCCACTAAGAAGCTCATCGCCATCATGGGCTCTCTCTGGGTCGGTGTCTTTTTCGCAGCTTTAGGTATGTCATCCAGACTCCTTATTTGTTTTGCTTTTTCGCTGGCGAAATCTCCATGCTATTCAGAGGGCAGGGTTTAAGTCACGAGGAGAAGCCTTTCTAGCCTAGGGTGTTCAAGTTGGATGCTACAATATGCACTCTCCTCCAACATTTACCCATCATGCGAATCAAGGGATATGATCCCAATTAGATATCGTTCCCAACATGAGCCCATCCCCAACCGTGTTCCTGTTTTACCACAACAACCCAAACACAAAACTAACTTAGGCCTCTCCAACAGACACAACAATAGTGGCAACGCTCTCCGCGCCCATATCTTCATCATTCAACTCCCTGACTCTCCTCTCGTGGCTCGCGTCAGGCTACCTGATCGCCAACGCTGCATGCCAGCCGCTATCCGGAAAACTGACCGACATATTCTCTCGCCGCACAGGTCTGATCTTTAGCAACGTCTTCTTCGCGCTAGGCACGTTGATCTGCGGGCTCGCGCCGAACGCGCAAACCATCATCGCGGGGCGCGTCGTCGCAGGCATCGGCGGTGGCGGGCTCACGTGCATCGCGACGTTCGTGACGTCGGATCTCGTCCCGCTGCGGAAGCGCGGTGTCTGGCAAGGCTACGGCAACCTCGTTTACGGGCTGGGGATGGGGTCGGGCGGCGTGGTCGGGGGCGCGCTGGAGAACTGGCTGTCGTGGCGCTGGGCATTTCTGCTGCAGGTGCCGTTCGTCATCGTGTCGACGGTCCTGGTCGTGTTCCTGCTCGATCACCAAGTCCTGTCAACGGCACCTACATCAGCCACAACCACTCGTTCCGCGCTCCGCCGCATCGACTTCCTCGGCGCGACCCTGCTCGTCACCAGTCTGGTCCTCCTGCTCCTCGGCCTCAACACGGGCGGCAACCAGCTCCCGTGGTTCCACCCGCTGATCATAACCTCGCTCGTCCTCTCCATCACCACACTGGCCCTATTCCTCTACCTCGAAGCATCACCGCAGTGGATTCCCGAACCGATGATCCCGGTCCTCGTGATCGCGCGCTCCCGCACCGTCCTGGCCGCGTACCTGACCAACTGGTTCAGCACCATGTCCTCGTTCCTCGCCCTGTACTACATCCCACTATACCTCGAGATCCGCGGCGAGAGCAGCACGGCCGCGGGGCTGCGACTGGTCCCATTCGCAATCGCCATGTCGGTCGGATCTCTCGGCTCCGGCATCCTCATGCGCGCGACGGGCGTGTACTACTGGCAGAGCGCGGCGTCGATGGCACTGTTCGTGGTGGGCGCGGCGCTGATCGCGAGCTTCACGCTGACCTCGCCGGCCTGGACGACATACGTGTTCCCCGCGCCGCTGGGCATCGCCTACGGCTCCATGCTGACCGTCACGCTCGTCGCCATGATCAGCGCCGTCGACCACGAGCACCAGGCCGTCGTCACCGCCGCCAGCTACGCCTTCCGCTCCACCGGCTCAACCATCGGCATCACCGTCGCGGGCGCTGTGTTCCAGAATATCCTGACCGCCGAGTTGCGCGACGCGTATGGTGCGTTGCCTGGCAGTGAGGGCGTCATCAAGCGCATCAGGGATAGTCTGGACAGTGTCAAGCATTTGCCCAAGGGCTGGGATCGAGCCGTCGTCATGCAGATCTATATGGATGCGCTGAGGGGCGCGTTCCTGGCTGGGCTGGGCCTGGCGGTTCTGGCTCTGTTCGTCGCGTTGGCGATGCGGGAGCATCATCTGCATAGAAACCTGGCGAGGAAATGAGGTGTGACGGGATACGAGGCGAGGGAGGGAGGGGATTGAAGAAGGCAACACGATGAGTAGGTCTGGAGCACTGCGTAGATGCCGTTGGACCAGTAGCTTATTTGGAATTGGGATGATACAGGATATTTCGAGCTAACAGCCTCGCGCTTATGATAGAGTGTACCTAGTTTGGAAATAGCAGAGATAAAATGAAAGTATCGGCATCTACTCAGCCCGCTCCCCCTTGGTCGAGACAGCATTAAATTACCTCAGACAGTATTCAATCACCTGATAGTCTTGGGTCTTCCTTGGTCTGTGAACTTGATATCATTCCATAGCCAGTAGTGGCAACGGTATGTTTCAGGAAGTCATTCACTCACGGACTGACGAACGGGTCTCTGCCAAACTTGAACCTTATATGCAGTTCCGATCGAGTGGTAACAGCATCGATGGCTCGAAAAACTCAATCTTACGTCGTAAACCGCGCTAAGGCGCCGGAAAACATCCCTTCGAGCGCAGGGCCTTCGCACTGATGACTACCCAAACCACTTGGGAACACGACTCATTCATGCACGGCATGGGTACGCGTGTTGGATCTATCCTGGACGAGGGCATCCTTACCATCAATCTCCAAGCAGATATATCTGGCGTGTAGGATGAAGGAACTCCCGGATGGTTCGTTGGTCAATATTCAATAAACATTTAGCTGCTTCGAGTGTCCCGCAGTTGTGCAGATCTCTACTCGCAGTATGTATCGATCGACAGTGGAAATCTAATCATCATAGAAGAAGGTATGATACAACATCTCACACTGTCAAAGCGTTTTATCATGAAAGCTGGGAATTCGTATAACATGAGGGGGACTTATCAGATAATTTGGTGGCTCAGGTGCCCCTCGGAATCCCCCACGCTGAGATCGAGGCGCACTCAACGGGAGAATAGAGTTCCACTGCGGGCAGGATCGCGTCCTAGCGTGGTCTTCAAGTGTTCCTCCCATGTTGGCATTGTCAAACACCCTACTCAGCTGAAGAGGTCACGGGTGAACGTGGATCCGAGGTTGAAAATTTCAGTCGATGTTTCAAGTCCAACCACTGTCCATCAATGTGTGGCAGAGACAGCCCATCCATCCTTTCTAATCATGGGGCGGATCATGCTTTACCGCAGAGCCTCGCCTGATGATCGGCAAGGTGCAAAGGACAACAGATTTGCAACGGTATCCCTGAAAATGGATACTCGGATAACGAAGAGATACTTACACTATCCACGCACTGGACCGGCCCGAGGTATTCGCCTTGTGTGATGTGGCAGATTTCTGTAGGTGCAAAGCTTCAAAGATCTGTCATCCCTCTCTAGCTTCCGTTCCCTCTGCAACGCGCGATCAGAGAGTATTGGCTGGTCAATGACCTAGTGGGTCATAAAGTGGACAAGGCAAGAGTTGTGCTGGGTGTCTCGGAATGGGTGGAGCTTCTAACCCCATCAATGGCCACGAAAGCTGCCAAAGAAATAGTTCGGAGCAAATTCTGAGCTTGTAGCCGAGGGCTGTTCCAAAACAGCCTTCTCGGGGACTATCATGTTTAAAGATGTGAAGACCTGTCAAGCACAATGTTTCGGCCTCGCATGTCCCAGAAGGATGCCGTGTCTGTGACCGTTTCAATGAGAATACAGGTCAAATAGTGCTACAGGATTGACGGTCTCTAGGCCTGGGCTGGAAGCGTGCCACTGGTACCGGTGGAAACGGTTCTCGATCAACATCGAGGGGGGAAAGCTACCGGACATCTTATCGTAGTGTCCAGTAGGCGCAAGCATATGGGCCAAGGTTGTCCCGAGACAGCTTCGTAGGTGGGCCTCCCTGGTATTCCAAGTCTCCAAAAATCTGAACGACTTGGTTCATCGTGTCTGGAAGGCAAACTGCTGTCAAGGATCAGTGCCAAGATCACCTTTACACAGTACTGTTTTTGGTCTGCGGATTGTCTGGACCACGCCATGTTGGCCGAAGTTTCGACAAGGTAAGATGATAAACTTTTCACACCCATGTTGGCTGCTAGCGACCTCCACCCTAACAATGCGTTGCACTTCCCTGAACAGTACATGAAGCATGAAGGTGTTGGCAATACCTTTGATTGACATTTCTGTCCACCAATGACGCGAGTACACCTCAGCTGAAACTGCAGGATAGTCACCCCGAATCGATGTGGGAGCGGGTTGCATTGTCCGAGGATGATCAAAGCTCTTTTGTTCAAAGATTGCTGGAAGTCAAGATGCGGTTCTGCAGCAATGTGCTGGCGGATGGTTGTCAAGGCCGTGGGAGACGGTCAGTGAATGACGCAGACCGGCCACCAACCAGTTGAGTTGGCGTAGTGCAAGTTTCGACTCTCGCCCTTTGAGGAAGTTTTCGTAATGCTTCTGGGGGTTTAAGCGGGAAGGCTGACACCATGTGTTGGAACTGACCACCGAGTCATTCGCTCGTGGAAGATTTTCATTTGGCCACGTCTTCAACTGAGATGATCTTACGTGCTGATGAAGACTCATTTGTGGCGAAAATACCAGGCGTCGCCTACTCCCATGCAAAGGCGTAGCCTTTAACCATGGCTGACATACTAGTCAAAGTGTTCTGTTGCCTGTCGTTTCCCCCCTCTCTATCATGTTCGGAGGGCTCACACATTGTAAAGTTCGATCTGAGGTAGTCGACTGAATAGTTTCCATGTGTCCACAGCTTCTGAGACATGGCAAGAGTCGCGGCCGGTTGCTTCTATTGTTTGAGCCTCAATCGCGGCCTACGTGGCCCTCGAAACACTGACCGTACCCAGGCCGTCAGTGTCAAGTACCAACCCTCGGATGAACGTTTTCAGTCGTTGCAAACAGTCTATCAACCTGCACGACTGCCCAACTTGTAATGCAATCATTATGCAACCTTCGACTAGCATATTGCGAGCTGCAGGTCCGTGCGGGCGGCTTCTGACCGGTACCATCTATCCTTGGTAGCATCATTAAACATGGCAATGATGGAGTGAGTCCCACTTCCTCGGATATCCCCATCCATTCGTGGTTTGACACATATCGTCCATGCTTTAGTCTTCAACTCTGTGAGCAACGGCAAAGTATGGAGACACTCGCTTAATTATCCACTCAAGAACATCATGCTTAAACAAATGGATCAAGCAGGTGACATTGAGACAATAAGGTAGATCCAGGGAAGCTGTCGGTCTCGTGCCTGTCGTGGAAGAGATGGGCTCCGCTCTCTGTCATTCGCCACCGTGACAGCAAACAGAGGCCGGATAGCATCCTGCATGGTAGTGGCCATCGTTGACCGTATCACTAGGATCAGCCTGAATTGAAACATTGGCAATGGTATAGGAGCTTGTACCCAATAAAGGTTGGGGCGAAGGCCTAAGGTTGCAGAGGATTAGAGGTGGCAATGATGCTAGTACATCATGGTTTGGTTGGTTGATTTTGTCCATGAGTAGTGGTGGTCAATCTCATGTACCTCTGAGGAGGATTGAAAAGGTATGTTTCGTTCCAAGTCTTTCTGAAATCAAAAACAGAACAAAGTTTCACCAGCCAAGGGCATCGAGCGCCTATTCACAGAACGTAGATTGGGAAGACATTGACCTCGGACCATTAAAGGACAACCATTATCTTCTGTGAGTCACAATCGACCTCGTAGGTGCAAATTCGGGTTGTACCATCATATTCGTGAGCAATCCATATCGAACAAACCCGTGTGTCTCACATTACGGAGCTCTTGTCGAGATTGAGAGGATGTTTGACTGACACAATTATCGGCCAGTTGAAGGTCTCCAAAGACTGGAGAGTCCACCAACCAGAAGCTTGGTGGTATCAGCTGGGCTGTTTGAGTTGAAGTGGCAAAGATGTGCTACTTCGCGAGGACCGATTATCGATGCGGAGATTGGAAATGGGGCAATATGAAGGTTCGTTGTCAGCGACAGCCGCGGATTGGTGAAGTTTGTGGTGCCAAACTGGTTGACACGGAGAATGTGACAATGTCTCCTGATGACTGTAAGCTCTGCCAGGAGATCAAAGTCAAACAGAGGCGACTGCAGAAAGAAAGGGATAACATCAAACGATGGAGCCGGGAAGGTGCGAGGTTCAGCGGCTTGATCGAAAAGGCACAGCGTGACGCCCGAGAACTTGAGGCAACGATTGCACTACTGACGAGTAGGCGACCATCGATCAGGGCCGATATGACGGCTCCTCGAGGAGGGTCTGTGCCTATGAGCGCTCCTATGTCTGGAAGTCTGGGCGCCGACCCATACTCCGCCAGGACATATGGGAGTCTAAACTATGCTGGTCCCACTAATGGTTAGTTTCATGCTGACGAAGAAGGTACTCATACTGAAGAATTCACTCAGGTGATGCTTATGTACAGCCAACCACAGCTTCACTGAGCTCATCGACATATACAAGTTCAGGGTCTTATCCCGGCGCCTATTCGAATGGATACTACACCAGGTAGCAGAGTTTGTGGTGACCTTTCTGGGAAGCTTGAACTCAGGAAGGTGCAAGGCTAAATTATAAGACCGTCGAATGTTGATTGTATTGCACAGAACATGGCGAAATCTATCTTGTTATTGGTTACGAGGGCTTCCATCGAAAATGTCGCTGAACCCTGGGGACGCTCCTGGTAACCTGGAGAAGGTGTCCTTTTGCAAGTGTTGTCGAGAGGAGTCGTTCAGGCGGAGGGACCTCAAGGCGCTATGATGATTCTTTTCCTTGTCAATTGAGTCCGCTTCATGCAGGAGGCTAGTGACAGCACCTGTAGGCGCCGGGCTTGCATATGCGTGAAGGTTTTGAGCTAGGAGATGATGAAGGCCAAAATTTTTGAGAGCTGGAAGTTTTGGGAACAAGATGAATTGTAAACCTAGCAGACATGAAAATGCTCATATACATACGAAGATATTGAGCTTAGTTCTTCATTCAGCGTTGTGTATATGTGATATTGTCTGGTTCAAGTGTCGTTGAGACTGACCAAAGGGGCATCCCATACAACAAAAACGGACCCCTGCTTCCTTCGGGAGGTCATCAGGCCAAGGACGCGCTATCACAAGTTCGAACTAGCTCCAGCGGCAGGAATAATGTTATTGCGAACCCGATGCACCTCAGATTGCCGAGGCCAATTTGACGTGCGGGGTTCTGAAAGTCACCCCAAACAACCCTGCTACCTTAATGCTTTATGCTTCAACTGTTCCCCGCATACCACAAAATCGCCGAACCATTCAACATTCGGTATATGGCAAGGCTGGCAGGGCCCGAGGTCAACTCGAGATGCCGGATGCCGAGAACCAGACTTCTTGTAAAACACCGCAAAAGCTCCTTCGTTATCTCTCAACGCAGAATGCCTTACAGTAGCCGTATACACTTCAACTTGAGCAAACGGATCATATCATACCACCAACACAACACCTGCACCCTCAGATCCCACACTAGAATCCAAAGATGGGGAACTCAACAGCACCCAACTTTCCCAATCTGATAATCGAATCTCCTGCCTCAGCACCAGGAGTCCACGTAATAGTGCTGAACAAGCCGGCAGAGAACCGACTAAACGTCGCCTTCGCACAGAGCATCATCGCGGCCCTGCGCTACATCGAAGTCAAGCTGATGAAACCAGACTCCCCAGGTGCCGTCATCATCTCGAGCTTCTCAGATAAATTTTGGTGCACTGGCTTGGAGCTGGACGAGTCCGACACCAACGTCTACGCAAATGCTGATGGATTCTACCCTCTACTCGCGACGCTGGTGGACTATCCCTACCCAACTATCGCTCTCATCACAGGCCATACCTTTGGAGGAGCATGCCCCTTCAGTTTGTCGTGCGACTACCGGATCATGAACAGCAAGCGTGGTTTCATCAGTATGCCACCCGTGAATCTAGGACTGCACTTTGACGGAATTGGCGCTCTGCCGCGCTTGAAGTTGCATCCTCAGATCGCAAGGAAAATGCTGCTCGAGGCGCACAAGTGGACGTCGACGGAGGCGCTCAAGGATGGCATTGTAGATGAGATCGTGGAGCCAGAGCGTATGAGAGAACGGGCCATCGAGTTTGCCAAGACGATCGCTCCTCGTGCCAGTATGGGTGTTTATGGACTGTTGAGATCAGAGCTCTGGGGAGAGGCCCTGGATAAGTTCAAGGCCATCAGCTACGTTCACCGTAAGAGAGTTGGGACGGAACCGAAGGCTAAAATCTGAATACTATTGTACATGCGTAAATGAATGTATGGAGGTTCTCCTCTCGTGATGAATACAACTCCTAGAAATGGCTTTTCGCTTTCATTTATATCTATTCGAATGTTTTCCAGTGAGATCTGAGCCTTGGAAAAAATCATCGATTGTCTCAAATCGCTGTTCTATCCTAAGTACCTACAGCTTCGATCTCGGACTCTTCATCTGCTCATGCCCAGTAACACCCAGCGCCAAAGCTTCCAGTCGCCTTCTCGCAGTCTCCTCACCTTCACCCATGACGATCTCCTCGCTCTTCCAGTCAGGATTGAATGTCTGCAGGTTAAGTGGGTTCTCCCTGTGGGCTTTGTGGAACAATCGATTGTACACATCTCCGTCGTAACTGCCCAAAGCGCTTTCAAGGACATAGTCTGGTACCGACCACGCATCCACCAATCGAACGGCATGTGGTCGAATGGCTTTCATCAGCTTCAGTACTCGAGGAGTCAGATCTTGCAGCTGATCTGCATGTAGGGCCTTGGAGAGTAGGAACTCTGAGGCTGAGATGTCCAATGTGAAGATTGCAAAGAGTCTGTACAGGTTCTTGAGGACGTCGACAGTGGCCGAGTCGACTGGAGGGTCGAGCTTGGCTTCAAAGATGGCATTGTAGAAATTCGACACAAGAAGGCTCTCAGAGTAAGCTCGGCTCAAGCGGTGGAGGTGCAACATGAGGTCAGTCCATGGCAGCTTCTGTACAATCCTAGCTTCATATACTTGGTATGTCAAGTATGATGCGCGATGTCGGAATGCTTGGACAAGAGCAAAGTCGTCATCGAGGCTGAAGTTTTGTTGCTTCTGTTGAGATTGGATGAAAGCTTGAAGCTGTACGTCGACAGAGTCACTTGGCTTCAGATCATGGTTCTTAACCACCTCGGTCATTCGCTTGATGAGATATGCTGCGGTTTGCTGGGTGATCATCCAATTGTCACCTTCCACGGTTGGCTTGGAGAGGTATTCATTATTGAGGGCAATCATTCCACTCCCCCCGCCAAAACCATGACCACCCATTGCTCGGCGACAGGTCTCAATACCATCAGCAGCAAGGGTGGTGCACAGAGACTTCAGCCCAGATGACGCAGCGTGCATTTCAGCCAACCTCGAAAAGTCGCCACTCTGCTCGATTGCTTGTCGCGTGCCGTAGTACAACTTGTACATCGCCTCGCCCGTATAATGAAGAGCAAAGGTTGTGGCCAACAAAGGCAAAATGCGAACTTGCACTGTCGGATAATTGAGGACTGCTTGTTCTGGAGCACCCGGACCTTTTGCATCTCTGTCGGCGAACTGTCTTCGGATTGAGAGGTACCGCACTGCAACAGTGACTGCTCTTGCCAGGATCAAACGTGCGTGCATAATGATTTGAGCTCGTACGTAGGTCATAGAACCGTACACCACGGCAGGATTTTCGGGTCGGATGTAGGCCCCTGTGTCCGAATTTACACCCGAGTACTTTGACAAGAGAGCAGAATGAGGTACGCGGAAATGCTCGAACAACATGTAGCCGTTGTCCATGCCGGGATAACCATACTTGGGTCCAATGTCGCCGATGACGATACCCTGCAATGGCTTGTTCGTCTTCATATCTCTGATCTGTACAACCCATTGATGAGGGCCATAAGACTTGTACTTGCCAGTATTTCCATCTGGAAGTAGTAACTGTGCGACGACAATGGCGTGGTTTGCGGTCCTGCCCAGCGCACCGTTCCACCACTTACTAGCGGTGATAGTTGGGCTGTGGATAATGAATTCCTTCGTCTTCGGATCCCACCTAGCTTCACATTCGATGCCCTTGACATTACTGCCATGGCCCAGTTCAGTCTGGCCGTAGCAGCCGATGATCTCCCAGTTCTCTGCTTTCGTCAACCAGTAAGCCTTTTGCTCATCGTTGCATTGCTCTCGAAGAGATGTCATGAACATGACAGTTTGTAAGGCATATGGACTCATCTCGTCCATTAGATATTCGGCAATCTGGTAGTCTTCGATCGCCCAATTGTGCTTCAGCGAGAGCCTTCTCAGCATTTTACTACGAGCAAGAGAAAGATGATATCGATCTGGTCTTGCCATGTTCAGCTGGTTCTTCTTGCAGAAAATCGGAATGGGCTCCAAGACAGATAGAATCTTTTTCTGGCGATCAAGAAAGCCATTCCTCGAAAGGAGATGCTTTGCCAACTGGTCATTGTTGACGTTGGAACCAGATCTCTCCTGAGCGAGAATATCTGGTCCCTGCGGATCAGCAGGCCTTAACTTATCAGTGAAATCAGTCATAGTTGTCGAACTCGAAGTATTCCAAGAGTCGGGTCGTGAAGCTTCATAGGTGTGAAAAGGGAGGAGTGTATTGCACAGATGTGGTACAGAACCTGTGGGCCGGTTTTAAATCAATCCCGGTATCTCAGCAACTTTACCTAGGTCCAAAGCCTCAAGTCAGATGTAAATAGCGCACGGCGACGGAGCACGCTCCATCCACAAACACATCCCCCCGCACTGAGATGGAGCATCCGCGGCGATAAACTCACTGCCGAGGCCCTCACCTCAATATCGCCGTGATTGGCTGTACGGAAACTCCCTATTCTGATGGATGTCATCAATATGGGATAGTGTACACTAGATAACGAGGTCGCACTGCTGCCCCAAAGCAGCGAAGCCGATGGTAAATCCAGAAAACCAGACGTAGAAGAATCAAAACAATGACGGATCAGACCACCTTCGACAGGACAGATTTTGTGCCTAGCCATGCTGGCGACCACATCCTCCCTGCAGACCCATTGTTCACCCGGCTATTGAGCTTGGCACATCGCCCCCATCCTAGGCCAGCCATACGCGACCTCAATGCTGGTGTCGAGAAGACGGCGGCTGAACTGGTGGTCGACATTCTCAGACTCCGACGTGTCTTGAGACGGTCACTCAAACAGCAGACGCTTGATGACCTGCAGCGAGGGCGGGAGGTATACATCAGCATTCTCGCTCCCGGTGGATATGAGTTTGCGGTTGGCGTCCTGGCTATCCTGGCCTTGGGGGCGGCTGCCAGTCCGTTCAGCAGCGCTCAGCCTGTCAAGGAGGCGACGTACTACGTCAATAAAGCCAGGTCGGTCGCGGTAGTGACGGCGACCCCTGCCCTCGCGATGGGTGAAGCACTCACTAAGGAAATCCAACGCACCACCAATCCAGAATTCGTTTTAGTTCCCATTAAGTCATACGAAGAAGAGCCACTGATAGTACTCAACGACATCAAGATCTCCTCAAACCGGTATCACGACCCAAATGGGCCCGGAATCGTCATTTTCACGTCAGGAACAACCGGGCCCCCAAAAGGAGCCGTGCTCAAAAGAGCAGCTGTGACGGATAGCTCGCTCTGCTTTGCACAGCAGATCGGCATCAAGGACACCGATGTCCTCCTCCACTTGCTGCCTGTCCACCACGCAACGGGCATATGGGTCTCCTTCTTCCCCTTCATTCAAACCGGTGCGTGCATCGAATTCAAGTCTGGTGGCTTCTCTCCGGAATGGACGTGGAACCGCTGGAAGCAGGGTGGCCTTACTCATTTCACCGGCGTGCCTACCATCTACATGAGAATGATGCGGTACTATCTCGAGCACATAACTAAGCTTCCTCCTCAGGAGAAGCAAGGGTATGAGGCCGCCGCCGGTGCGTTTCAAACATGTCTCTGTGGAACATCTGCACTGCCGAAACCGATCAGCGACTTCTGGACGAAAATGATGAATGGCAGGCGCATTGTGCAGCGATATGGCTCCACGGAACTGGGTGTGGTGTTCAATATGTCAGCGGACCCTGCGGTGCAAATTCCAGATGGCTCTGTCGGTGAATTGACGACAGGCGTGGATATGAAGCTCTCAGAGGGCGACCAGGGAGAAGTGCTCGTGCGGTCTTTCAGCATGTTCTCGAAATATATCCATGATCCTCAGGCAACCGCCAATGCACACGACGCGGATGGATATTTTCGTTCCGGGGATGTAGCGAGGCGAGAAGGCAAATTCTACTTCATTGTTGGTCGTGACTCGGTCGACATCATTAAGTCTGGAGGTTACAAGATCTCCGCACTGGACATAGAAAGAGAGCTACTGGCGCTCCCATACCTCGGTGAAGCCATGGTCGTGGGCGTCCCTGACGATGAATTCGGCCAGCGAGTCGGCGCTGTCGTCTCCCTACGGAACGATTCAATTGCCCAAGAATTCTACCGCCAGAATAATCGGAGTACAACATCACTGGATCTGGATGACCTTCGCGCGGATGTGAGAAGTCGTCTGGCTGGCTACAAATTACCGACATTATTGCGAATCATTACTGAGGAGTTGCCGAAGAGTGGTACGGGGAAGGTGGTGAAGAAGACACTTGGACCACACTACTTTCCTCCAAACTATGCTGAGGACAAGGAGGTACAAGTTTGGAGCAGTAGACGAAATGGCAAGCAGTCTAAATTATGAAGACATTAGCCATGATGAAGAGTGTAATCGGATCATAGAAGATTCGCCAGAACGAAAATTGGATTTTAGTCTAGAAAGGCAAAGAAGCAAAAGACCTAGTAGTAGAGAGAATGTCCTAGTCATGCAAAAATTGCGTCGTACCCTGGAAGACGGTAGTTGCAAACATGAGGAAAGAAAAGCCTAACTCCGAAAGTGCGCCTGGTAACCCAACAAGGAAAAGTAAATAAGCAAAACCCCGAGATTTTGAATCTGCCATTGTGTTAGCCACATTGCACATGCTACGAAAAGCCGCCCTTGTCCACGCACTCGTTCCATCCAATGCAAATGGAAGGCCACCAATGATCTACCAACCCCATCCTCTGTGAGGGTAATGACCCCGAGGAGGAACAGTGATAGTAATGGTTTTAGTGGTCGTTCGGGCGGGCTTGGTGGCCGTGACCGTGGTTGGGGCGGTGATTGTGTATCCTGGCAGTGTAACAGTCTCACCAGGAACTGTCACGGTCGAGGCGGTCACTGTGTATGTGATGGTAGAGGTTGCGACTCCCGCGGTTGGGCAGCTCGAATAAGTGACATCAATTACGGTAACAGTGGTGTCAGTTCCGGCTGGACAGCTCCAAGAAGGAACTGGGCAGCTGCAAGTCGAGCTTGAAGATGAGCTGGTTGAACCGGATGTAGACGCACTGGAAGTGGTGCCAGATGTGATGGTCGGAATGGCAGTGGAGGTGCCGCTTGAGCTTGTAGAATCAGTGCTAGAGCTAACACTAGAGGTGCTGGGCGAGGTATTATTTGAGGTTGTGGTACTAGTGCTGTAACTGACGCTGGAGGTGCCTGACCAAGAGGAAGTTGAAATTGTTGAAACAGAGCTTTGGCTGGCTGACGAGGTAGAAATGGAGCTCTGGGTGGTTGACGAGGTAGAAATGGAACTCTGGCTGGTTGAAGAGGTATTTGAAACACTCGAAGTGGTGGTTGGAGTGTAAGCATCACCGGTTCTAGTCGTATTTGTGGCGCTTGTGCTAGAATCTGTGCCGCTCGTATCCGTGGTGGAAGCCGTTCCAGTCGAAGTTGAGGTCGCAGAATCGGTTACCGTGGACGTGGTATCAATTGGGGTAGTGGTTGGGGAGGAGGTAGAGGAAATGGAGGAGGAAGTAGAAGACTCGACGTCTGGAGTGGTCGTGTAGAAAGTACTTGAGCTTGACCGTCTACTCCAAGGTCTGCTTCTGTCCCAAGACTTGGAGCTTGTACCCCATCTATCAGGCGGCCCGACTGGTGAGGTAGATGCTGTGGTGACAGATGTAGTGCTTGAAGTGGCTGGAGGCGACACACTAGTCGTACCAGTGCTGGCAGTAGTACTTGGAGTGACGTGATTCTTTTCAACAGATGTTGTCGTGCTAGTGGACGTACTTGGCTTCACAGATACTGTTGATGTGGACAATGTTGAAGAGGTATCAACTGGGCTATTAGTGGTTGTGCTGACGGATGGTCGCCTTGAGCCGCTCCAAGTCCATGTTCCTGTCCAAGTTTTGATAGTGGTCGATGTGGAAGTTGACTCGGGAACCCCAGAAGTAGTTGATGTGGTGGCAGCCACGGTAGTAGTTGGTGCCGTTGGATTGATTATAATGGTGGTCATCGATGAGGAGCTAGTGAGACTGCTAATTGACATAGATGGATTGCCGCTTGTAGTGGAGGTTGATACGGGAGTAGATGATGCTGTAACCGACGTGGTCGTAGTTGAAATACGCGTCTTCGCAGTCTTGGTCGTTTTCGTCGTCTTTGGTGGCTGAGTAGTCGTTGTCTTTGTGGTCTTTTTACCACCCGCATGAAACCAATCTCCCCAGATTCCAGCGTAGTGAGCGGGTTGGCTATCAGTGACAGTCACTGTGGTTGTTCCGGCTTGCTGAGCATTAGTTGTGGTCAATAGGGTTAAGCCCATCCAAAGGGCTGAAGAAATGAGTGACGAATGCATTCTTTCTGTGAGAAGAAAAGAATACTTGATTCAAACAAATGACTGTAAGAAATTGAAGGAATGGACTGATTTGATCAACCGACAAAGGTTGCCCAAACCAGCGGAATATATAGACCAAGGAGAGCATTGGAAAGGAGCACCTCGAGGAGATTGATTCAGATCAATCTTGGTGGGTCTGAAAAATGTTTCGGTTTTCCTCGAGGTGATAGAAGTTCAGGAGTAGTCAGCCTCGTGGACGCAAGAACGTGGACAGGCTTGGCACACGGATGTCCGACGCAAGGGTATTGTTAAAGCCAACAATAGACCCATGGAATGTCTTTGAACGATATACCAACAGTGAGGGGTGTTTCATGTTGAAGGATGATCATCTCATTCAGAACCCCTTTGCGAGAATTGTGTAGAGTCTTATCGAATTCCTTCATCCTGGCATATGGTAATTGGCAATTTGCCCTTGTCGTTGATGTAGGGGGAACTCTGATGAACAAACCTGAACACCAACAATAGTTTTATATGGGAAATTTTTTTGGTGATGACCCTCAGCTGTCACATCAGACACAGCACGAGCTAGAGCTTGGAATTTTCACCGCAGAGGAGTGACATGAAAAGATAATGCGTGGTCAAGCCAAGGGCCCGTTCTCGAATATCAACATAACGTGTGATCGTGTGGTAGACAAGAAGAGGAATTCGTGGTCACTAGATGACTACTACTCACCTAGGGACCTCCAGTGAGGGAAGCGACGTTTTCACTTGTTCATCAGGATTAAAGAGGCCTGCATGCAGGACAGGCCAGTTTTTCGGTTTTCGAGCTGGAGTAGTTCGGCAGATTGTTTGTCCGATTTTCCGGAAGAGATATCCGTGTCCATGTTTGGGCTAGCTTGTGTCGTGGCTGGGGACCTTCTTTTAGCACGGGAGTCAGGTGTCACTCCCATCACGAATACCTCGTACCACTGGCAGGTCATTCATCCTGATACCAATACTCGAGGATGATAAATTTCATCAAGCTGTGATTTCATAACCAATGCGCTTCACGAGCCTCAAGGGCTAAACCATTGCTTGTGTCAGCAAAGTAAATCGCAGCCTCGAGAATGGGCGCCTGTCTCTCCTGTCTAGGGCTGCGCGGCCAGAACGATGACGATGTACGACCCCAAGTATCCCGATAACCATGTCATTGTGTCCTAATATATAACTACAGGTTGAGCGCACGCGACTTCTTTACGACGAGTTCAACACTGGCGTCCACGGCTATGGAAGCTGGGGCGCAGGCAATGTCATCTCCCAAACGGTCCTCAGTCCAGAAGAGGCACAGCGAGAGCAAGAGGCGTTGGATGGGATAACCAGATGGGCGAGCGAGTATGACTAGACCGCATCCATTATAACAGTCCCCTGACCACGAATACCATGACTAACCATCTTTTTTCCGCTCTCCCTACAGTCAAATCGTCGAGATCTTCCCCCATCAGCACCGCGGCCTCGCGATGTCCGTCTCACAAATCAACGGAAATGCCGAACACGGCACGTCGAACTCGACACATCATGACATTCTCCTCTCGTTAATCCCAGGCGACAAGTCCAAGCGATCCATCCGAATCTACTCGGCGTCCCGGCCGACATCTAAGGACGCACAGTCTCTACGGAGCAAAGGTTCATTTGCCGGCATGAACGGCGCCAACGGTGTGCATACAAATACCGGAGTCCTCGTCAAATTAGATGTCAATCTCCCGTGATTTCAACGGCGATGGCTTCCTCCGGCAGAAGGAAGTGCCTCTTGAAAAAAAGACAAACAAAGGCAGACAGATTGGAGGGCGACAGGTTCAGGGAGAGATGATATGGCCGCATGCTCGAGCTTCCCACAGGCCCCGTCCTCCAATTTCAAGGTCGCCGCCACACTCAGCAACGGCTTCGTTCGATGACCGTTCTTTATCGGCGTGGTTAGAGTGAGAAGCCTGATCGAATCCAGATCTTCCAGTCCCACGAAAATGCAGTTCCCCCTCCCGACGAGGCTACGGGATTACCTCATGCCTTGAGAAACAAACACCACAGTCTCCTAATGACATAAGTGACCGGCGGGCTGAGACACGCGAGCATCATCGGGCCCGGTCAAAGACCGACTTCATTGTCATAGAAGACTCACAACTGAATTACCAAAGCGACTTCGCTCAGCGCAGCGCTGTGCATCTCGACAACTTACCACCTCCACACGTGGCTGAGCAAAGTGCATCTCTTATCACCAAAAGCCACGATAGCTCAAAACCACTTACGATTCAACAAGGCGGAGCACAGGACGGGTCGCGGTTGACACAAAAAGCCTTTTGATTGCGTTTCATATTTTGTTGTACGAATACTTAGGATTTCTGATGGATGTTCTTGGGATGCTGGGTATGTCCTGCTCACAGGTAGAGGGATGGGGCAGTACAAACACGGGGAGTAAGATGGTTCATGTATCATCAACCTCTCTTACTAGTGATCTGTACAATCTGTAGGGGACAATGTAGCAAAGGGAGGAAGAACAGGACGTTTTTGGGTTACTATTAATTGCGCGTTCAGGGGCCTTGTTTGTATGTAGGAAAATGCAATCAATCAATTTCCTAATGCTTAACTGAAAAGAGGACGGGTATCTGTGTGATGCTATGCCTAAGCCCTATCAATTTGATCTGTGCTGCCACGGGGTATCATTTTGCAAGGTGTGCGCGTGTCGTCAGTACGTGCCGCTCGAAAAGAAATCTGTTTGGTTCATTGTGGTTGGGGTATCTCATGTTTGTTGTTTGTTTGCTATTCTCAGAACAAGAATTGAAAGTGGGAAATCCCTGTGTTTCCATGCCATAGCCCCTTGATTAGCCCAAGTAGCGGCTGGTAACGGCTACGCATATTGGCGGCCGTGCATTGCTGGAGAAAAAAACCGGGTATCGTGCTGAAAAAAAAAGATGATGAACAGTAATATGCGGTGACCGATTTGGTGCGCCAAAGAGGGTATTTGGATTAGACGCTCGGTGGAAAGTATGAGAACAAGGAGAAATGACAGGCAGTAGTCGGAGACGTGATGAGTGATGGTCTCAGCGGGTGCTGTAATCATATCGTTGGTCGCACGTGCTGTTTAGTCCATGGGTAGAATTCATCATATCTCAGAAATGGTATGCCTGTTTACTTGGCCGGCTCGACGGGAGCGGCGGAAGCAGCTGGAACAGGATCAGCTGGCTTATCGGCTGCGGCGGGTTCAACGGGAGCAGCGGCTAGAGACGAGAGTTAGAAGACCGCATCATTGAATTATCAGATAGCAAGTTCACTTACCGGCAGGAGCCGTGGCAGGATCACTGGTTGACGGGGCTGCAGCAGTGTCTGTAGGAGTGGGTTGAGGGACTGCGGCAGCGGGGGGTGCATCGGTCTTTGTACCGGTGGTGCCCTTGTCCTTCTTGCGTTTGAAGAGAGCCTTGAGTCTATCCATTGCGTCTGGGGCTATTGATTGTGATGGGACAGGTTAGAGTTGAAGGTGGCGCAAGGTTGAGATGCGGATGAATGACAGTAATAGCAGGAGTTGAGGGGCAGAGAGGAAGATGTAGTGGAAGAGAAGTTGGAAAGTATCAAGACGTACGAATTCCAGGCATGGTGAGTCGTAGTTTCCTTGATTGGAAGAAGAACGAGTTTAAGTAGATAAGGCAGTCACTGGCGAGTCACAAACAGGCAGAGAAACCAGAAACCAGAACCAGCGTGGATTGAGGGTGCCAGTGATAGGAAGTGGGCGGGATGATAGGACCAAGGTTTAGTCAGTCAGTAGTTGTGAAGAAGGTGCATGTGACGCAAGACAGCCGATAGCAGAGGAGAGGCCACCAGTCAGTGAGACAAGAAGAGGTGGGATGCAGCAATGGGAAATGCAAATGGCCGTGTGCCAGTGCCTCGTGACGGGATGATGGTTGATAGAGAAATGAACCAAAGGGATGAGAGGGAAAGATCGAGATGAGGGAGGGGTGGCTAAATAATGAATGAGTAAAGGAGGGAGGGATGGTGGTGCCAATGAGAAGCTTCAGAAATGAGACATGAGTGAGTCAAGGTCGCTGTCGAGGCTCAAGGCTTTGGATAGCCAACAGGCTCAGGTTTACGGAATGCCCACGTTCAAGTTGGGGGAAGGGCGGACGGATGCTCGAATGGAACAAGCATAAGATAAGACAAGCATACGCCAAACTATCTCGGTCTTAAGCTGTCAAGCCCTTTTCCCAGATTTCAAGAGTCTCATCAGGGTTTCGATGGCATTTGAAACACGACTTCCAAGTTGATCGGATGATCTTGTGGAGATATGAGATTGTCCCTTAAGCACCTAATGTCACTATTATCTTGTTTCATCAAAAGCAGCAACCTTGAAAGTCGAAAGTCTTCGATACTACCTAGGTACCTGGGAATAATGATATTCCGAACCGTCCACGGATTAATTCGGACTCACCCGGCCGGCCTTGATTCCGTCTTTTTGAACGGAGCACTCCCGTCAGTCATTCTAAATTCTGACACTTCGCAATGACGCCTCGGCTGCTCAGAGAGCCCCAAGTGCGCAACCAGGCCGTAATCGATAAACACAATTACCCCGATTCTCTCGGATCTCCCCCGCACACGTCAATTTCACGGGGATGAAGATCGCAACGGGTGCCGGTGAGGGACGCATTACAAACACAAGTTCAATACTTAGACAGCCCATCTCTACTCGTTCACAATTTCGAAATCTCTTCTCGATACCACCGTCCTCACGACCATCTCTCCAAGCAGTGACTAAACTACCTCCCTCCACGATCCATACACCATGCGTCTCGACTATGTCCCCAACCCACCCACCGACCTCTCCCCCGAGGACCAAGAGGTGCTGGAACGAGTCAAAGTCCGGCGCGGGTCCATGGGCCTGATTCCCCTGGACCTGACACTCCTGCACGCGCCCAAAATCGCCGACGGTAAGTAACAAGAATCTCCCCTCTCCTCAGACTCCACCCTCTTCTCGGACGACCAGACAACTCATCCAAGACCTCTTCCAGGCTGGAACGCCCTCCTCGGCGCCGTGCGCACCAAGAACTCGCTGCCGGACGACCTCCGCGAAATCGCCATCTGCCGGCCCGCGCTGATCAACCAGGCCTGGTTCGAGTGGAACGCACACGCGCCCATCCTGCTCAAGGCCGAGGGCTTCACGGAGGAGAAGTTGGGCGTGGTGCGCGACCTGCATCCCAAGGACAAAGGCGCGCTGGACGATCGGCAGTGGGCGGTCCTACGCTTTGCCGACGCCATGACGAGAGACATCAAGGTTCCTCAGGCGCTGTTTGACGAGGTGAAAGGGAGTGGGTTCACGGATCAGCAGATGGTCGAGTTGACTGCCACGGTCGCCAGCTATAATCTTGTCAGTCGGTTCTTGGTCGCTTTGGATGTTGGTGAGCAGAATGAGAAGGTGCCCGAGTGGGCGAAGTAGCGGGGTTGTGTCATCATGAATGCTTCTATACATTTCTACTTGCAGATTTCTACGAGATACTACTGTCATATACATAAGAGAACGGCCCCAAATAACTCTCAAACCACCACAATCTCCTTATTCGTCGCAGCAATCCATTCCTCCTGCAGCTGCAGAAACTGTTTGATCCTACTCACGTCCGTGGGCCGTTGGGCACGATGCTGCTCCTCGAGCTCCTGCAGCATGACTGCGAGCCGGGCACGCAAGACCTCGAGCCGATACTGCGCCCATTGGAAATATAAATCCGACGGGTTCGAGATGGGTCGAATACTCGTCAGCACCGACGTGTCGCGGACCATGGGGTCGCGGGGGCGGAACGACGTGATCATTGTGATGCGCTCTCCTCCGCCCAGCGCCGCGAGCGCTTGGTGCGAGATGCAGCGGCCTTGGAGAATCACTGCCGAGCCCTGTTTTACGCGACGAGTGAGGATCACATGTGTAAAAAAAAGTACGTGGTGTGCGGGAGCACGTCAACTCACCATCTGCGGACCGCGGACTTTGATGATTTCTCCCGAACCGTTTCTCAGCGCGGTCTCCCCGCCGACCATCTTGGACGCGTCGGACATCATCACCACGCAGACGAAAGGGTAACTGTCGTAGTGCCAGTTCGTGATTGGGACGTCGTCGTCCGACTGATTGACTACTCTGTCTTTGTCGTGTCCCTCATCTTCGACAGAGATGTTCAGATTGCCGATGTCGATGTCGATCATGGGTATGAGGTCGATTCCTGCAATGTCTGAAATGATTGATAGGGTCTTCGGATCCGTCCATGCGTTGTACATGAACGGTGCGTATCTGGTGTCGCGGGGGTAAGACTGAAGCTCCGGCAAGGTTGGCGATAGAGGATATGATGCGATGCTCACTTACTTTGGACAGTGTCCTCTGATCTGACACTTCGCAAACGCCGTACTTTGCAGACAATTGTCCCAGACCTCCTTGGTGAACACCTCGGTTCTCATGATCCGGATGGCTTCCTCCGTAAACAGAGGGAATGGCTGGGAGACCGCCACTGGTGATATCCCTAAGTCTTCTGGGAGACCGAGATCCTTCATTGTAAGTACTGTCGGGCGGTTGACGTACGCCAGATGGCTGATTGCGTTGAATTTGATTGGAATATTTGGGCGCGATTCGACTAGGACATCTCGAATGATTGGCTTGATGCGTGGTACGGCCGGGGTAGCCACAGTCTGTACTTCTACCAATGCCATATTTTCAGTGGGAGGTAAAGCTGTATGTGAGACCTATGTTCTCCGTAGATTCCCTGGTATCCTCAGTGCTGTCCAGGTGATAGCATAGACGGAATCAATGATCAAAGACCAGAGCCGTCCTTCAAAGCCTGGAGGTATCATGGAATAGATAAATCCATGTCCATCACACCAGGTGACGCCCTTCTATAACACCTCTGCGAATGTGGCTGCTCTCAAAACCGACTATCAGTGTCAATCGAGCGCCAGCACCCGTATCAACTGACTGAGCGCTGTCTCAACTTCGGTAATCCTAACCATGCCGACCTCGATCCGTTATCGCCGGTCATGTGAAGAGAGGCACGAAGAAAAGCAAATCCACATCAGGAAAGCAAAAGCATCCCCTATCTTGACCTCGATTGGCAGTCTTTATGTGTTTATGTACCATTGGTTGTAGAGATCGCGATAGTGGTGGAGAAGTGCCAATTAGTAGGACATGATAAGGGCATAAACCATGAGAGCACCTGAAACCTTCCACCCACTGCATCGCGGCGAAAATCTTCCGGAACAAGTAATTTTCTGGAGATTTTCGGAACTGATTTGAGCATAAATTCTGGAGACTGAGAACTGGTAAATAGTCGTCCTTGGCTGGACTTAGCAAGGCGTGCGAGGCGTGCCAGTGTAAGAATGATTAATGGTAACCATCAACTTGTTAGGACATCTCCACTTACGTGGGAGGGGGTGGCTTTTAGTCGCAATGAGGGGACCATATCTCATGTCAGGACTTAGTCCACATATATATGACAGTCTGTGAAATTCTGGTCATCATTTGCGTCTCGGAGAGCTTCATAACGAACTAGATTGAGAGAGATCAGCAATCTCGATTCGACCAGAATCCAAAAAGCAAGATGGGGATGCCGATGTTTGGACCACCAGCACCGATAGATGCCTCGTATGTACCGAGCACATCCATAACGACCATACCAGCAGATTCACCAATCGATGAAATCATCTCAATCTTAGAACAAGACGGCGGCATAATTCTCAGCAACTTCGCGACGCCGCAACAACTCGAGCGGATCGACAACGACGTCGAGACCTACCGCGCACAAACCCGCAGCACGGAAAAAACCGCCCTCGCGATCATTCCAAAGGAAACGCTGGCGATCCCTGGACTGGTCGGAAAGTCTGACACGATTGCACAGCTCTGCGAGTCCCCACTGCTGGAGAGCCTGCGCACTCATATCCTGGAGGATAGATTTAGCACGATACGCGAGGGCCGCGTCGAGGAGAACAGGATCGACCCGCTGCTGAGTATCAGTCTGACATTCTACATTGGTCCGGGGGCGCCGCGGCAGACGCTGCATCGCGATGATACTATCCATGGGATCAAGCATGCGGGCGATGGCAGCTTCGACTTGCGCAAGGCTAGTCAGTTTGCGTGTCTGGTCGCGGCGTCGAGGACGACGAGGGAGAATGGTGCGACGATGTTTATTCCAGGCTCGCATAAATGGGATGACAAGCGTGTGCCCAGGGTCGACGAGATTTGCTTTGCTGGTATGTGTGATGTGATCACTCCCCCTTGTTTGTTGACTCGTTGGCACAGGTCGGGTGTGCTCTTTGCTGACAATCTTCTTTCAGAGATGCAACCGGGCTCTGCTCTGATATTCCTTGCTTCATGCTACCACGGCGGCGGGCACAACTCCACCACGAGCGAGGTGCGCAAAGTCCATGGTTTGTTCTTCACCAGGGGAACACTGCGCACCGAGGAAAATCAATTTTTGGCCATTCCACGTAGCAAAGTGTTAACCATGAGCGACAAGATGTTGTCACTGCTGGGGTACAAAAAGCCCACGACCGTGTTGGGGATTGTGGACAATGATGATCCCGCAGTGAACTTGAGGGCCGTGCTGGAGAATGCTAGTAAATGAGTCAAAGAAAGAAAATAGCTCTAGGATCTGGTCAATGTCACGAGTAGGATCGTTGATCAAAAGAGTAATGCGAGAGGCTGAAAATGGATAGGTATACGCCACAGGTATGGCCTGACATATTATCTATCTTCATAAATCCTGTCAGCCGTGAGCCTTCAATCGTCTTCAATCGCATTCACTCATCATCATCTTCGTTGTCATCGTCATCGTCATCTGCCATATCAAGATCCACCAATCTACTCCTTCTTGCCATTCCCCTGGGCGTTCCAGCGTTGGAGAGTTGGGTCTGGGGGACCATAGATCTCCTCTTTTCAGCCTTGATACTCTTCGAGCTTTGCCTGGACGAGGTTAGTGGACTCGAGCCAAGCCCAACAGGTCGTCGCTGAGTGCCTCTTGCAGCAGTATCAGCTGCCTCATCATCACTCGCATCAACATCACTCGTGGCTGCTTCGGCTCGTTCTTTGGCAGCTAATTGTTTCTGCACTCTTCTCTGAAGGGCGGGATTTGGCTTGAGGTCTCCTTTCCTCATCGGGACGTTACACTCTGGGCATTTGACCACTCTCTCTTGTTTTGCAGCCAACTCCTGTCTCTTCTTTTCTCGGTCTTGCTGTCTTTTCGGCTGATTAATCTCTGCTAATTGCTGGGAATTGAAAGGAACATGATTGGAGCTGGTTCGCAACATGTCGAGTATGGCATCCTTCTCATAGCTATGCTTACAGATGGCCGAGGTGACTGGATTTTGATATGGTAGAAGAGTGATGGGGCATATAAAGCGAACCGTCTCACGAGAAATCTCCACATCTGACTCTGAATCGCCATTCTCGGTCTGCGAAGTGCGTTGAGCTACCAATCCGCGTTCGCGCCCTTCTTCTGCGGCAAACCAAAGGCTATCATCCGGCATGGGTGGCGCCTCCTCTGTTGCATTATTGGCATCATAAAGAATGCGCTTCCAGCCTCTATAGTCGTTATTGGGTGTGTATCTTTCAGTCAACGTCTTGGACTGCCAGTCACGAGATTGCCTTTGAAATTGAGATTGTAGGATTGAATGGGGTGACGTCGTGGGTTTAGAACGAGAAGTGCCAGTGATGTTTTCAGTGTCGTCGAGGCTTTCGTCGGTTTCTCTCGGTTGAGATTGAGTCTGTCTTGTAGACTGAATAGGTGTCGGGCTCTGGTCATGACGATCCTGTTGTTGAGTACTCTGCTCCTCACCCGCGGCCAAAACAGTTCGCATAATCGGTGGGAAATCTTCCAACCAGATTTGATCATCAACCATAGATCGTATGCTCATATCCATCTTCTTAGTCAATGATTGCACCTTTTCCTGAAAGGTATTATGTAAAGCCCGTTCCTCTTCATCCGAATCCTCTTCATTTGCGCGACGTCGGGCGGAAGCCTTGGAATATCTCAGGCGCTTCTCATAGCCATTTTCATTAATATCTCCAGTGGTTTCGGTGATTTGTTGGATGGCAAATGAAAGGCGCTGCGAGAGTTTGTTGGATTTGGCATGGTTTTGTAAGATTTGTGATAAAGCAGTCTGCGCTTCGTCGCTCAAAGGAAGTTCAAGTGGCTGCGGCACTAGAGTTGTTGAAGATGGCCTCGGAGATGATCCTGAGGGAGGGAGGGAGTCCCGAACCCTTCTTGAAGCGACCGACATGTTTGGAAGATGCCGTAGCCTTGAAGTGGTAGATTAGAGGTTTTGTTGGTGACGGCCACTCAAGTTGGCAGAGGCTCGACGCGTGAGAGTTCACATTACGCGTCGGGTGTCATTAGAAATAAAGGTGAATCAGATGACGGAGAAAGCCGCCCACACCCAACGATAAATTCAGCTCTTCAACATACCAAGTACTGTTCATCATTTACATCAACATGAACATTGTGCTCACTGGAACGCTTTGACGTATTCGTATCCTGTCGATCTCGGCAATCTCGCCTTCCAAGGCTCTCTTGAATGGATCGCTTGGCGCCAGGCTCTCGCGAGGCTGACTTCCCCTCCGCGATTCAGGCAGATGTCTTTTTGGCTTGGTATTCAATCAAAGCTGCATATCTTCCCCACAATCAACTGGCAAGGGCTGTTAATAACTCCTAGGAATTCTGATGTTGCTATTACTAGAATACCAGCAACTAAATGTCTTTCACGAGAGTCTGTCAAGAGATCGTATTCGCATTGAGCACCTCTCATATCAACGGATAGATCCCTGACATCTGGAGACAGGTAGCGCCCTATGATCGCGGAACTATATAGGTAGGTCCACGTATTGCCATATCTCGAACGAGCAAAATTCAATCAACGAGAACATTTTTTCACACGACCTGATCCATTGCTACAATGCTTGTCTTTTTCATCACTACTTTACTTCTCCTTCACGCCTGCCAGTCAGCCGGAATTAAGCCTCGTCAGCGCTATAAGTACGGCGATACTGGTTGGCCCGATGAGCAGACATGGCTCGATTTCAACTCAACAATCTCTGGTCGCCTCATGCGCACATTTCCTTCTGCAGCAGTCTGTCATAATGCCCAATTTGACGCTGCGCTGTGCATGGAGGCCAAAAAAGAATGGGAGAGCAGCTTCTGGCGCACCAATCAGACCGGTGCATACACGGCCATTGTGTGGGAGCTCGGGGCTGATCAATGCTTCATCAACTCTTCACGAAGCGAAGCTTGTGATCAAGGACTAGGTTGGCATGAACGTGACCGATATTTCATTCGCGTGCTAAGCATAGACCCAGTACCACACTACTCAGTGGCTGCACAATCTATCGATGACATTCAAGCTGCTGTTACATTCGCAAATGAAATGGACTTGTACCTCGTTGTGAAGAATACTGGACATGACCAGTGAGAATTCATCCGACATGCTGACATATTTGGCATTATATTTCTGACGAATTCAGCCTTGGGCGCTCAAGCGGCTATGGAGCGTTCTCCATCTGGACTCACAACCTCAAAGGCAGGGAGTGGACTGAAAATTTCGTTATGGAGGGTGCACCCCCTGGCACAGAGGGTGTTCCAGCAGTGACCCTTCAAGCTGGAGAGCAGTGGATCGGTATAACCTCTGACATATAGTCCCTGAAAATTTATGCTTACTCGTTTGTCAGATGTTTACGAAGCTGCGGCTCGTCAGAACGTAATCGTTGTTGGCGGACATGCTCGGACTGTTGGCGCAGCAGGAGGATGGCTTACAGGTGGAGGGCACTCTGCATGGTCAAACCTCTATGGCCTCGGGGTAGACAGTAAGCGTTTGAGTTGAGGTTCAGCAGTAATGACTAACGGGCATCTTATAGATGTGCTGCAGATTAGCGTTGTGGACTCACAGGGAAATCATAAAATACTCAACCAATACACGGACCCTGACTATTTCTGGGCTATCAGAGGTGGAGGTGGGAGCGCTTGGGGGGTATGTTAACTGAGTTGCTTGATGTGCGAACTTGAAGACGCTGACATCCTGTGCAGGTCATTACTTCTGTAACTTACAGGACACATCCGGAGCCCCCGACTGGCATTCAGGTCGCACTTGTTCAGATAAATGCAACTACCCAATCCAGTGTTCGCCCAATTCTGGAGAAGTCATTGGGAGCGATTGTGAATATTACCGATGCCGGGTATACAGGCTACGCGCTTCTAGCTGGTGGTTTCAGCGCCATTCTACTACGACCGGGAGGTACCAATGACGAATTGGAACGTGGCATGAGTGGATTCCACGAGGTGTCTCAGATCCCCGGCGCCAGTGCTGCATTCTTCAATTTTACATATCCACGATGGATCAACTACACCAACGACTTCCTATCCGATCCCAATATTGCACAAAATGTCATGGACTCCTCAAGACTCTTGACACCAGACATAGCGTTCAACAAGGCTGATCAGGTTGTCGATCTAATCTTCGAGGTTGGTTTGGAGAACGCTCCGAGTTTTAATTTTAGTAGGTGGATGCTCGAGTCTTCTTGCCGATGGTCTTTTTTGGGCTAACAGTTCCTCTTCTATATAGTCGGTCATGTCAACTCCGACGGACGTGAGAACACTTCTGTACACCCCGCATGGAAGGACGGTCGAGGTGTTCTCAGCTTTGGCGTCAACTGGAATGATACAGCGTCAGAGAGCGAGAAGAAGGCGTTGAAAGAGCAACTCGTGCAGATCAGCAAGCGATGGGATGAGATTGCAGGTCCGGAAGGAGGTACATATGTCAACGAAGCGAACCCGTGAGTGTACTCCTTCTTTCCCGAAGTTTGCCTGGAACATCTTTGCTAATTCTTCAACTCCAGATATGAACCTAACTGGCAGGAAGTCTTCTGGGGCTCCAATTATGAGCGGCTTCTCAAGATCAAGCGAGCGATTGATCCCAGTAATCTATTCGTCTGCAATCGGTGCGTAGGAACAGACATCATCTATGAACCATGAAGAAATAGATGTCAATGGATGTATGTATGGGCGCAGTGGGAAATCATGGCATGGAGCAGCATCAACTTTTGCCCGAAGGACCTGATACAAATCTTGGCATGTGAACTCCACCCTCAACCTTCAAACTCACGTAGCCTCTTCCCATGTTTTTATTCCAGTGCGCATCATCATATTGAAGGTCAACCTATCAACCCATTTTGTGTCCAAGTGGAATTCACATCGGTGCAACACATGTCGCGTGGACCTGCTTCCATGGTTGATTTCCCTGCATTAGCACCGCCGCTCAATGTCGCAGGCCGATGGTGGTTTCCCCCGCGATGAATTGAGTCCCTAACTCAACAACAACTTCGTCTCTTTAAAGTGTCAATGGCAGGCACCACACCAGGAAGACGACCATCGATGTCTTCAAGTCTACCTGGGTGAGATGATGGACTGCGACTTGCGGTCCATTCTCAAGCCAAGCAAAATCGGCGTTCAGCCCGTCTGGTATTTTATTTCGCACTTACATCTAGCCCTCTTGATGGAGATACGATACACTTGAATTTCGTTGAGAACAGGAGGCCACTTGATGAACCTGTATCCAGGTTCACATGTTCCCTTTGGTGTCGTTCAATAAGCTACAAAAGGTTGCCTTGGCGGCACAGACCCAAGGACCCTGACGTCGCTCTGTCATCATATAAAAGTCTGTCTGTTTTGGTTCTTCCTGGTACCGACATGTGGTCTTTTATATCGATCCAATCTCTACCTGGAACTCTATCAGATTTTCTTTTTCTCTTCTTAGCCTCATCCTCTCTTCCTTCAAGGTGTCTTTCCTATTCTTTGTCTTCGCCACATGTCACTCCAGTCGGGTATCCGTTGTTGCTAAACGTTCCCTCACTGTATCGCCCTCAGCTGTCACAGACTCACTTGGATTTCCCATTCTCAAATCACCTTCCCACTTTAAAAGTCCTGCTAAGAGACGTCTCTCTAATTTTTTTAGGTGCTTTGTTCAAATCTTTCTGATTGACATCACTTGTTACTGGTCTTAATCACCTCTTCCAGGATCAGTGGCCGTGAGTCAATGTCAGTTCCTGGCTCAAGGTGATTTTTGTTATTCTCAAGAGGTGACTTTGTCGATCACTTCGTGTCCACTTCATACCGTCACGCCATCCTCAGTCACCTGTCTTGATTGGTCTGAGACGACCACCCTCACTTTCAAATCGAGATACGTTGATGCGACTCTCGGAGGCAAGATTTCCGAGAAGCTGTGGCTCGCATCTCTTCTCTGGAGAAATTTCCTCGAATCCAGCAGCGATACATCAATCAACTCGTTGGCATGGGCGCCCACGCCTCCAAGATTGATGATGGGCTTGCAAGTCTTGGTGAAGACATGAACATTTTCCACCCATCATCTCCATCTTCTGAATTTCCCACACCATCTACTCAACAAACCATGGAGAACAGAGCAACCGTCCAAAGCCAGTCTAAAGGCCGCCGCTTGCCTCCTGTCGAAAGCCATCAAGCAGTCGGTGCTAAGATAGCTAGAGTCGCAAAATGGGATGTCGCAGATGGCACAGACGATCTTTGGATATCTGCTCCTTCTCAGAATCACCATATACGGGGGGCTCCGACTCCTCAAGCAGCAGGCGTGACACAACTGAGTGGGATAAATAATCCCCCGAGAGTGAATGATATACCAAATCTAAAGAGGTATAGACCTCTACCAAGCTTGAACTTGCAACTGAGAAAGAAACCAAGACTCCAGCCTACACAGCAAGCGACACAGATCGCCACTAAACAATCAGGAGCTTACCAAGGATTTGCTACTCTGCCAGGATGGGAGTCTCATCAAGAAGAAGGAATCCAGAGTTCGATAGAAGACGAGGGCTATGATACATTCACTGTGTCGCCCACGAATACTACTGAGGGCTCGACTGCGCCTACTATTGATGAGGAAACAGAATTTGACCTAGTCAAATCGCTCGCAAATCTACAACAATCCACCATCATATCAACACCGGCTATTCAGACAATTCAAGATCAAAGACTTGATATCGAAGAATGTCTTGAGGCTGTGGAGTTGCTCAAGGCCCAGGAAGAACAGGCGGGAGCCGAAAGGAGCAGAATTTTACGAGAACGTGCTTTGATGCGTCAACGAGAGCCTCCCACGCCATCACAAGAATCTGAAAATCTCTATGATTTATCTGCAGAGTTGAGAGATGAACTAGATAATGGGGAAGAGTTCTCTGGGGGAACATTCGAGGACTTCGATGCAAAGTTCCATCAGCCATACTCAGGAGTTCGAGATCCAAGCTATACACTATCCCCCGAACCGCCTGGAGATTCCGATGCCAAATTTCATCACCACAGCCTCACAGGAGTATTGATCACGCAAGCGAGCTCGTCACAGTCACGCCCAGCTATGGACAGCAGCTCTGATGTCCTATGTCCTGGAGCATTGACCGACTCTAAGGCAATACTTCATCAATCATCTCCAAACTTCGGAAATCAGGATCGTGAGAATATCTCGGATGACGAGGAAGCTTCTGCTTTCGAGCTTCGCGAGATCGCCATACAGGAGAGTGCTGCAGAATCGTCCTGTCTGATTCTACCCAGACAACGTACGCGAGACCCTATCATTCCAGTTCGTGAGCTGAATCCTACGTCAAGAACAGCTGCTGAGAAGTTCCGCACTCAAGATCGCCACATCAGTCACAACAATGAGGGTATTCGAAGACAACGTATCCTGTCAACTTCCCTTCAAGAGCGAGAAGAGAGGCTTCGAAGGGCCAAAAGCTCGGACAGTACGATTCATCATACGCAACATACCCACGGAAATGTATCTCGGTATAATTCGCCTTCTCCCACAACCTCGTTGCACCACCAGATCCGTTCAAACACTGAAGAAAAGCCTCATAATACTCCAAGTCAAACAACCTCATATCGTCCATCGGGTCTAGAACTACTCGCATTGAAGAATGGCCGTAACAGCTTTTGGGACCAATCCGATCATAGAGGTGCTTCTAAAGTTCCCAGTGCTCCTATAATCGCCCAATCATTTGAACATTCTGATGATGACGAAAAATCAACCTACTGGTCAAGGTCAAGATCAAGATCGCACTCGGCGCCTCCCAAGTTCGAGAAAAGTCTTGTTCTTCCTAAAAACTTCCATACCCTAACAGAAGAAAATCAATCGATCATTGTCCAGCACGAGACTGCGAAAGAGAGGAGGCGAGATCTTGAAGTTATTGATCGAGCAACCAAGAAGATCGCCAATCTACGCTGTGTTGGAAGTTTTTCACTGCGAGAAGAAAATGAAATCGCAGAAGTTCTACGCTTTATGAGACTCGTTCTACGGGAGAATAAATATGGGAAACTTGCACGGAAGAGAATCCAAGATATCCGCGCTAATATGGAAAATAGAGCTCAAGGTTTCGAAGCAAATCAGGACGAAGTCGAACAATGGTACTATGGCTTATTTGACAGAAAGGACCTTGCGAAACTCAAGCAGGGCCTATCGGATATTGAAGGCGAGATTTCCAAGCTGGGAGAGATACGTAACGAGTTGTCAGCGAAACGACATCGAAGCCACAAGAAAAAGACAGTATCCTTTGACCTTCCACAGTCGTCATCACAAACTCCAGCCCCAACCTCAACCCGGCGCGCATCAAGGATGAACAGACGCACCAATTCGCGTAATGCCACTGAAAACCGCCGGAATGCACAGTATGCCCATCAGGACAGACAGATAGAGCTATTGCGGGCAAGATTGGGGCAGTTTAATACTGGTCTCTCGGAAGAGGAAGATCAGTTTCTGGAAGTCGAGTCCGGTGCGGTCTCTGGGCCCGGAAATGAATCTGATAACGAGTCTGTTACCAGCGAAGACATCACTGGTGTCGAATTCTATCATGGTCTCACACAGAAGGACAATATAAGTCCTCAGTCTCATGTACGGCACGATTCAAAAAACCAATGCGATCCAGAATCACTCCCACGAACACCTTCATTCGTGCAGGCACCAGATCTTCAGCTCCTTGAGCAGATGCGGGCAAAGCACAACTTCGTTGCTACTGAATCCGGCACTGAAGCGGAGGCTTCAGACTCCCGAGAGGACGATATGGGCATCATTTCTGCTGCTGAAGAGTCACAAACTGAAGATGAAGATGAAGATGAGGTAGTTGACGACGAGGAAACTAGCAGCGACGACGACAATGAAGTTCCTGAACATTATTACAAATACACTATTTGGGGTGAATTTTATGGCGTTCAGGATTACAGAGAAGATTATCAGTATCGTCTCAAATCTACTTACGATCGGCAAATCGCCGAGCAAGAACTTGCATCCATCGTCAACAGTTTTAAGCAGAAATATGCCAATATGGGAATCGGACTTGACCAGTGGTCGTTCTCTCACAAGGTCAATAACGGCACCGTTGAGCAGAGTCTAGATCTAGGTCCTGACATGGCAATTGGTATGCGCTTTTCGATCGTTAGGGAGCACATGAGCAAGGGTGAGAAAGTGTACCGTCGAGCCAAGTTCAAGGGTGTCGTGGTGAGAGACTCGGTCTATGTTATGGACTGGACACATGTCACAACACCCATACCGGAGGGAGTGGACCCAGGAGAATTTGAGGATCGAACACAACAAGACACAGATCAGCTGCAGGGCGAAGACGACGGCGAGGGCGAGGAGGAGGAGAATGACTTATTTGGCCCAGAGTCCCACAAGTCTCCAGGGCCACCATCAATGCCAGAATCCATTGCAGCCAGATCCATCACAGCAGCCTGTCCAGGGTCAGAGTTGAAACACTTCAACGATCTCGCCACGGCTAATCGTGAAGCTTCAAGGCAATACCTGGATTGGCACTACCAGTTCCTTCCCGGTCTGGAAAACGAAGGCTACCGACGTCAGGAGTTTGACCTCACCGAAGAGACGCTAAAGCGATTAGCCGACGTAGGTCACTACGATAGAACAGGAAGCTTTTATCGGGAGATGGAGCTTGACGTGGAAGAAGGGGATGAGTTTCAAGATCTCATGGACGGACACGGCGATGGGGGAGAAACAAACATGAACCACAGCAACGGCACAGGAAGATCCAACGACATCACCGCCCCACGGACGCAGAAAGTCCACGAGTGGTTCAGAGTCTGGGTGAGGAAAGCACAGGTCTATGGACCAGGGAATTGAGTTTGGTTTTGTACGAGTGAATTTTTCTCCCTTGTCTCTTGATTTTCTTCTACTTGGCTTCTTGGAAGAGACGAGGGAAGGGCCGCCAACGAAGGGAAGAAAGCAAGCAAAATCCTCCAGTGTAAATTAAATAGCCATCCAGAATTGAGATTCCCTTCCAACCATCCCATTCCGACGCCGCTTCAAGTTAAGTTAATGATGAAATGCCCATTGTCGTTGAGGCCGGCTGAAATATCTACATGACATGATCTGAGATGGGCATGGTATGGTATGGTAGGTTCATCGAGCTTAACAGCACCATATAGGGTGACTTTTGCCCTTTTAACATTTCATGATATGGTTGGTGCCCAGGAGATCGATTATGGATTGAAGGATAGAGTTGCAATAGCACAAAGCACAAGGCGGGTAAGGGAGATGAGGGAGTGGCCAGTGGCCAGTGCCAGTGACATTGACAGTGGCCTGTGAATCACTGACACTACACTACATACAGTACTACAGTACTACAGTACTACAGTACTACAGCACTATGCTGGTACGTTCAGGCCCCTGATTCTCTTCCAAGAGGTTCAGCTCAAGAGGAGGGCCTGGCATGAATGACAGTGTGTAAGGTTGAAGTTCCTAGAGTAGAGAAAGGCATGGCATGGCATGGCACATGATGTGATGTGATGTGATGAGCGGCTATTATCAGAAGGAAGTGAAGGAAGGGGGCAAGGGAGGAAGGAAGGAGAAAACGAAGGAGAGAGAGAAAGGAAAGGTCGAAGAACAGCGCTACCGTGACGACCTAGGGAGGTACTGAGCCAGCAAATGGCTACAGGAGCAGGAGAAGGTAGGATCTAAGGAAAAGAGGTACCACTTTTCTCTCTGCGTTCTGTCTGTTTACTTGCAGGAAGGACTCAGATCAGAGCGTCTGGAATACTATACAGCATGAAAACTCACTCGCTTGGATGATTGTGTTTCTAGCCGGCAAGCACGATCGCGAGCTTGTTCAACAGTTGAGTTGAAGTTGTTCTAAGGGGAACGGAGCTGTGTCACGTCTAGATGAGCTACCTACCTACTTACCTACCTACCTACCTATGAGGGGGAGGAATCCATGACACAAATGCGAAAAGTGGCATTTCGATCGACGTTTCGATAAGATGGACAACACATATTTTCTGTGAAGTGATGGCAATCGATGGCAATCGATGCATATTGTCCATGCCATGGTCGGGGGGAGTTGTCGATGAGAGAGGGGGATGGGAAGGGATGGGATGGGATCAGGATTCACTCATTCACTTACGAGCCAGAGCGGGACTGAGTTCTGCGATAACCATGCACGATTGATTCTCTCGCCTGGTCGTCGAAAGAGGGGTCTCCATGAGCTAGTTTCATCTCTGAGGTCGATCTGTGAGAGGAGAAGGAGGAGGATGCCAAAGGGATTGGATTTCCCCGGGGGGTTGAAGGCGGTTGTTTGGTCGATCGATCTATCTTGATACCATGACAATTTGTAAGTAATCATTCCATGTGGAAATCCCGCATTCTGGGGGAAACCATCACAGTGAGTCGCAGTGAGGTCCACCGGACACCGGTGACCTCGATCCTAGAGTGGAATAGAAAGGCTCTGATATCGAGCCACGCTGGCTCCATTTCTCAACGGGAATCTGAAATCGGCATGGAACAGTTCTGCACCCTTTGATCGGCTTAGAGTATGCGTGCGCCGACTCCGCATTTCAGCAAGCATCAGCTCTTGCAGCCCAATATGCAGTGCGTGCAGTGTCACCTAGAACCTTGCCCCCTCGAAACTTGGGGGGGAAGAGGCAATGCAATGCGGGTGATCGAAGGGATTGTGTAATCCATCCATCAACTTATCTTCCTGATGAGAAATTTCCTTAGATTATCGCAATCATCGCTATGCCGGGAACAGCAATTAACACTAATGACAATGATAAGGTCGGCTTGCCACGAGTTTTGTGCACTTGGTGAAACCTGCAGGTAACATTAGCGCCCCCCCAGTATAAAGAAGAAACGGAGGATAGATCAATTAGGCAATTTGAAGAGCAAAAGCGAGTGAACAACCTCGTCACACATCGCTTATGACAACAGGCTTTGGGGGCTTTTCGACCAGTTTCAAAAGCTGAGGTTGGATTAAGGCAGTCCAATAGATGAAGTGCTGCACCTTCGATCTGGTGCAGAGCGCCAGATGAGAGTAAGCTGGTTTGGTCAGAGGTAATTTCCCCCGATCCAGAAAGTGACACTGTCGCTAAGATACTGGTGCGCTGACAATTCATTTCCTCTGATCAATGTCTGATTGAACCTCCACGCTGCATCGACGATCAGTATCGTCCCCAGTCTGGATATGTTGAGAAAAAGTTACGATTGCGCAAAAGGCGACGTCGACAAACTAATTCCCACGTCCTGCGGCTTGTGCCGGCGGCGGAGGCAAGCAGGTATGGAAAAAATCTGGAGGTCTCCGCTTATCGTTCATGTTTGAGTATTCCGTATTGGATCCATGACAGATTGAATCGACGCAATGTAATGAGCAATGCACCCATGGTTCGCTGTACGAACTCAGCTGTCGGGGCGGCATGGAGAGAGTCCTGGGGATCTCCAGAATCCCAGGCCCAGATATTCAACCCCGGGAGATCCCCGAACCGCCGGCCGCAGTGTGAGGATGAAGCAATGCAAGGCTGGTGGAGATATCTGATGTTGTGTGATCAATGACAGAAGAGCAGTGAAGGAGACTTTCACATGTCATGAACGAATCCGGATAGATAATCTGGTAGAAAGAGAGCCCCAAGCAGAATAATAGCGGGGACAGGATGCACCCCGCCATCCGAATGCAGATGAATAGCAAGGGATAAATTCCCAACAATTTTTGAGAAATGGCATAGACCCAGAAGTAAGACGTTATGGCTCCGCGGGTATGGTCAGGACGAAGCATGTGCAACGTTTTTGATGGTGGGACATACGGCGCGTTTTGAGGTGGCGGGTAGATTTGACCTGCAACGACGGCGAATTATGCCCCAAGGGGGTGGGTCAGAGACACCCAAACGCCTACGATGGCGCCAGAACGTGGCTTGCATAAGACTGAAGGTCAAAAACCCGCTGGAGTTAGGGTTGGCGACTGACTGAGCGGTGACTCTGGAATATGTGGCCTGTAGGTGGTGGGAGCGAGCATGTAATGCATCAAGGGTCCAGGGTTATCATCAGCGCCTTACCTCGTACCCATGGGGCCATGGCAAGTGAAGAGTCAGGCAGAGGCGGGCGGGGTGTTATTGACATTTTGGGCCAGTTGAGGGACTCCTTGAGACGTTGACTGGGAAAATTTGATGCGGAGTGCATATGCCAGCGATGAGAACTGTCCTGCACGGGCACACCGCTTCCCTGTGATTTCCAGTGCATCCAGGTCTGAGACCCAAGAAGGGGTTCTGGACCTGTCGTGTTCGTGTGGCACGATGTGGTTCTCATGTGGAGATTGATGCGAAACACCACAGGCATATCGAATGCAGGCAACATGGTCTCTGGGGCTAAATATCGGAGTCTTGGGGAGGGATATATTCACACGCGGACTCCAGAGGGTTACGCTTGTCTGGAGAAATACGCGGTGGAGGAGACTGCAAATACGATTGATACTACAGTGGTAGTCCCAAGAAGAGCTACGAAAAGACGTTGGGATTTTGGCCTGGGAACTGCTTTCGATGGCGCAATGAAATCTCGATTTGCCACAACAATGGTCAGGAAGGTGCTATCGCTTCGCTGGTCGTCGTTCGTGCAACAGACCAGGCGGTTGAAAGCCACAGCGGAGAATACAGAGATGCACGAACAGAAGCTGCAGTCAGTATCCTGGTGAGTCAAACTTGTTGAGAAATTGCAGAGAGGCACGAAAACACTGTGGCGAACATGAACAATAATTATCCGTAAGAAAGTGCTTGGAGTACTCGTGGCGCTGTATAGGCGGAATAGTCCCAGATGGGTGACTCTCTTACTCGTACTCCCAACAATGAACAAAGAATGCCAAACAACGTGCCGGTTATCCCGTTCAAGTCGCCCTCAGGTCATGTGATCGTCGAAATCCGAAAACTTCACATGCTTCAACGTCCTTGACAGCCTTCAGTCACAGTCACTTTGGCGCCGCTATCTCTAGTGTGTTTCGCTTGATTGTGTATTGATAATGATTATGTCGATGCGTTGGCCACCACGGCCATCTCAATCTCCATCTCACCCTCCATCGCTTGATTTCCAAGGGTCTAGGGATATGCTTTAGTTTGTCTAAATTCTGATACCCGCCTGAGCTACTCGTCCTTGTGCGTGGATACCGTGTACAGTTTGCGTGGACGTCTAGGCATCATCAAGGGTATTCCGGGCACTAGACTTCAAGTCGGTCAATGACAAGACGAGCACTCATCGCGGCCCCCGTTGGGTGTGGCCGGAGTGTCAGGGCGGGCTGGTTAGTAGAGGTGACGATCAGTGTTGATCCCGCCGCAGGGACTTCGATTACCTTTGCCCTGCGCTCGAGTGCTTCGCAAATCCTGTGTCGATCGATAGACCCTGATAGCTTGAATTTGTCTGAATGCAGCCACTTCCATCATCTCATATGTTGCCCAATGCAACTCATGCTTGAAGAGCTATCACAAATTTTACAACCTGCGACAATTCCCATCTCCTCATATGCACTCCACGGACGAGTACGAGTATGGAGTATTCGTGCACTGAAGCGGAGACTTGCTCCACTGCTCAATGCTCTTTGCAATTTGCATCTGACCAGGCCATCCCGCTTCAAGTTCATCGCCGCCCAATGCACCTGCTCAAGCTAGCAGCAGTAGGACATGCAAGCCATGGTCCAAATCACTGTGGCCAAGCGGTTGCTGCTTTAAGTGGAAGACCAAAGTCTGTAAGTCTCGCGTGGAGAATGGATATTGACAGTTTAGTTCGTAAAATGTCACATATCCTCTGGACAAGTTGCACTGGTTGGCAGATACGGAGCAGAAGCTGAGAGTCGCTTGTGTGTCTAGCTACCCAAG